TGGGGAGGAAGGGGTACAGGATAGGGGAAATCAAATGTTATTACAGGTGCTAAGAAGTTAAAACAATACATATAGATCTCATATGATACCTGGTGTGTAAACTTGTCTTATATAGCACAACTTTTATAGTTTCTTGAACGGTTGTTTAAATCAGAATGTGGAAATGACTTGAAAAATTGACACTCCACTTTTTCCAATATTTTCATTGATTTGCTTTTTTTCATCAATTTTTGGTTTATATTTTTTAAAAAATATGTTTATTTGGCATTAACCCAATTCAACTTATACAAAATATTTTCTGGTATTTAGAAAAAAAAATTCATTTCATTCAGATGTAGTGTAAAATGCAGTTAATTTTATGCTGTGAAATTTTCTTTATATTCAAAGTTTGGAGCAGTAAAATGAATGCAAATACCATTTATCATGTAGTATCACGTACATTAAAGATGTTGTCTTCTAGTTATAGTTTGGCTTTAAATAAAATGATGCACCTTTATCTTGTTAAATAGTCAGGCTGGTTCCAAGGTGCAGTACGAATAGGGGGCTTCATTTATAATTTTAAGCCATTTTTATCAAGTTTTCCTTAAAGAGAAACAAGGCTGCATGAATTGTTTTCAATATGTTTTGGAAGATTTGCTGTTAGTCAGATACATCATTATGTTGAGTCATTGAATAAATGTATCAGAATTAAATTTGCTTATTCGCTTGAATATTTACCCTTTGAGGTTCTTTAATGAGATATAATTTATTTGTTAATATGAGTAAGGGAAAGCGAGGGATCGTAGCAATAAAAAAACATTGAAATAAATAGAAGAGAAGTTGAAAAGTTGACAAAGTTCCATTGGAACATATTAAACTGGCCTGATGTATTTTCCTGCCATTGTAAGATTTTAATTAGTGCTCTTGCTTTGCCTTTTAGATTGATAAGATATGTGCCATCTCACATTTTGATGTATTTAATTTCACTGTTGAAGTTGTTCTTTTTCAAAATTCACATATCTTTTTTTAGCTATAATTAGAATAATTGAACAGATGTCATAATTTTTTCTTGTTTATCATCAACATAATGTAATTCTACTACCACAGACATTTTGTAGAAAATTCCAATTTTTCCATCATGTTTTCTGGCCACATGGCCACAATTACCCTCTCAGATGTGTAAGAGTAGCACCGAAGGTCTTTGGTGTGAAATTTACCCTTTTATAATGATTTGGCAACTGTTCTGCACTAGCAATATAAATTCCTTCCGCCACACACAAATGGGCTGAAAGAACCCAGGCATTGTTTACTTATTTTTCCGTTAAGCACCCTTAGAAATCAACGGTGCATTTAGCATTGTTTGTTCACGTGACCCTTCACAAACAGTACCCCCTGTTTTTATGCCTCGCCAGTCCCATTGTGCACAGCCCTAGAAATCCTGCTGTGCATCTCAATACAAAGTTATTGATTTAAGGTAAGTTCTATTGTAGCCAGGTTTTATACTGTGAGGTATCTACCAGTTAAATGTGTGTGGAGTGGGAACAGGCTATTCTGTATTAACTCGGACATTACGTGAGTTGTTTGGACTTGTATGGTCAACTGGAGTGTCAGAAGGTGCTGGGGTGTTCTATAGGGTTTCTCTAGGACAGCTTTTTGGAACTTGGGAGACCATCTGTTAGTTTAAGCCGATGAATCTAATACATTGCCTGTGGCACGCCTTCAAACACCTTCAACCGTACAAGGACAAACCTGTGTGAACTGTGGATACACTGACTGAAGTCCCCTGTGTAAGTACAATGTATAACATAATGTTTGTTTGATCAAGTAGATGTATATCTGATGACAAAGTCACCTGGATTAAGTAATACTAACCTCAGTTTTTAGGGTTAAAGTGCGGCATAAATACATACATCTAAAAGAAAGTCCCATTGTTTATTCATTTCTTATTACATGAGGCTGAAATTTTAGCGTAGAGATATTCAGTTATAGAATTATTTATTATTTGATGGGAGTATTTTTTTTAACTTTGGGGCTCAGACATGGCCATGTTTAAACAGACATGCTTACGTCCCATGGGATAAAAGGTAGTTCAAGGAAGTAAATACTGCATAGAGTCACGCTCCATTTCACTTCAGTGTACTCAGCAACTCTTCTTCAGGTTAACACTGTTGCTATGTTATGCTACGTATACACTGGAAATCTCCAGGTGCTATGTATCATTTACACCACATTTGAAAATTACTGGTTCCGCACTGGTATACTGTAACAATACTGGCTTGCATCACATTTTGAAAATGACTGGTTTTGACGTTGGTTTACAGTTACAAAACTGGTTCATGCTCTCTAGGAGCAAACATTGTACCTGGACTCATACTCCTTAGCTGTAAACGTATAGATTACCTTACAGGTGCACTTTGGTAAAATACTAATTTGTAGTATTCTGTGAAACATACAGCTGATAAATGTCAACTGTTATTTTCATAATTATAGTTTTTGAGCATAGATATCATTGTAGAGATGAGTTGCAGTTTAAGTTTTCAAAACATGTTTCAAAATGAGTAAACATGGGTCTGAAGAGCTAATGTTTAATAGAACATGCTTAAAATTTGACAAAAAAGTGATCATCAAAGATGTGCAGCACACTATGTACTTAGGCTGACAACTCTATAACTTATAAAAGGGGGCATCTCGATAGTCTGGAGGTTCATTGGTCCAAAGGTTCATTGGTCCAAAAAATAGTAACATTTTCATCAGTTTTTTAATCAAAAAGGTCGTTGGTCCGAAGGTTCTTTAGTGAACATTTGGAGCAATGAACCTTTGGACTATTGAACCTTCGGCTTATTGCTACGGCCCCCTTATAAAGTACCAGTACAGAACTGGCAGCTACTAGGAGAGTGTATTCAATTTATCAAGAACACAGGCAAGATGATCTTATTGTAAGAAAAGTTTTGCATAACTGCATGGGAAAATATTTTGATCCAAAAATTTTGGACTACTGCCACTCTTCTCTGTTTCTCTCTCTCACTCTCTCCATTTTGTCTCCACACATACAATCTCACCAAATGGATGTACTGCTTTAAGAGATAGTAGCCCAGCTACTGAAAGCACATGACACACCTGTCTAGCTAATTTACTGCCTGGTCTAGCAGGTACCCTGTCCAGAAAAACAAATGTTGATCTTTGTGATGTAATAATTTCTTCTCGATCAGTGGTCAGACGGCCAGATTATTATTGACCCATTTGATGTTGGGGTGTGTAAGCAAACACACTGGATTTTGTGTTAGTGTTTGTAATTTAAACATATCATGCACCATATTGTAGTTTTGGGTTGCTATTTCAAACATAGCATGCTCTATGTTCAAGTTTGGGGGTTAACTTTTCACTTGATGTTGTGTCTATGCAACAATGGTTGTCATTGTTTCTGTGACAGAAACAGCAAATGGAATTTTGTATATAGAAGAGTGTTGACCAGTGTAGGAATCTGAAATTCAAGGTGGATCCCTTCATCTCATTTAAATCCTCCGTCTATTCTACTCATCAATTATATTCTGCTTAATTGTAATTCAAACTCATCATTTAACATATGTGCCCTTTTGTTTGCTGTTACTGAGGATTGGCTTTTAAGCATCCCTGTGAAAGCAGTGGCACTTCATATATCTTGCTTTGGATGAAAGTAACTTGATTTTTTAAAAATTAATTCAAGGAAATTGTTGTCAAAATCATGTAAATGTGCATATACAGTTTTCTGATATTACTTTTTGTATAATTTCTCTCCTAGATTTCTCTACAGAGATTTACATTTTGGTACAATTGTCATGTTCCTCAGTCAGTTTGGCACTGAATGAAAATAAGGTGTATAAGCAAGGATGAAAAGGTAACTTTTTTTAGGTATACAGCTTAATCCTAAAAAAAGGAAAAAAAATTTCAAAGCTCTGTCATGTGTTGCATATATCCCAATGCGGCTATTGCATTTTAAATGACTTTCACAGATGGGTTATTTTTCTCAATACACAGCCACGAGTAAATCAATATGTCTTGATCTTGATTAATGAGCTTGTTCATTATTAATAACAGTAACTTTGACATCTACAGTGAAATGCCTGGTAGAGAAATGGTGGAGTCTTAAGAATGTTTACTAATCTACACTAAGGGCACATACAGGGTATGGCACAATTATCAGCAAAATTTGTGGTATTTTCTTATTTTTAACAGGAATCATAGGGACATTTTCAGGTGCCAGTCAAAAAATAATTACAAATAATTATTAGCCGAAACTTATAAATTAAAATATCTACTTGAAGTAGTATGTATTTTAAGAAAATGTTGCACAATTTAAGTGAAGTTCTTTTTCATGCCATTGGTTAGATATTATAGTAATGGTTGAGTTTTTTTCATCAGTTTTGTGTCTATAGAATTATATATCTGAAAGTTTGACAATTTTTGCCTGTTGAAAAGATGGAGTCATTAGGCCTACAGTAATTATATCAATTGAAATTTCATTTAATATTTTTATTAACTAATTTTATTAATCTATTTTAATAACCAAAATGTTCAACTGGTTTCATTGGTTTCTGACTTTGTCTGTCCATGATATTTTCAGATTTGGACTATTACCCTGAAAAGACAGCCAATCATCCAAGCACAGCAATTAAACTTCAAAACTTTCAAGTTTTGAGTAAACCTGGGTGATTGTATGAGCAAATATAGTTGGTTGTTAAACAACTAGAGTGACATTTATCACACAGAGGAATATATATAAACCAGTGGATTAAGTCTTCATCCACCTTAAGGCCCAGTAAGCGTGAGAAGGAAGAAAGGAGAATTAGAGAACACCAAAGTTCGGACGTGGAGCACAATTAAGAGGATTGCAATTAAGTCTATACCTTCTGCCCTGTAATGAGAGGATTATGATTGTATTATTATGGACAGGTGAGTGCACATATCTGAATTGATTTCTTTAGTCAAGGTATATGTGTTTGTGCTTTGCCAGTTTATCAAGATACCAAGTATAGACTAATAGCTCACCTCAAAAAATATAGCTGCTTGCTCTAGTATAAATTTTTTTAAGACAATAAGCATAAAAACAAAATCTCACATAACTGAAAGTGACACACTGATGAGCAATTAAAATAATAAAAGCAGTCTGACAATGATTTTGAATATACACATTTAATATAGCCTGATTTTAAATTCAAATCATAATCGCACCAGAATTGCAGTGCTAACAGCAACAAAAAATTCAAATTTAGTAGTTATTATTGGTCATTCAGAGTTAAATATATGTACCATATCCACTTCTGTTTAACATTTTAAATTACAAACTTATGGAGTCATAGAAAACATAGATAATTCTTTTTCATAATCCATTATCTTGATTGTCCACATGCAGGGTACATATCTGGACATTCACCTTTAGACACACAGTCACTTTGATCATACCACTGCATGCTTTTGCTGTTAGTTGAATGACAGACTGTGAAAAAATAATGTGGTTTGTTAATTTGAGCACTTCATGTTAAACTTTTCAGTGTTGTGAACTATTTGGCACATTTTGATCTTCATGTGTTTGTTAAATCTGTCGTAAGTTCTCCCTTCTCTAGATATGCTGTGCAGTGTTGCGGCTTGGATAGACTGAGCTCTTTTCAAATTCATCAACGTTCAATATTGCAGAATACCAATTGTAATCGATCTTTTTTGTATGTGTGCATTCCTATTCTAGTTTTGGCAATGATTCAGAATTGACCAGTTTCATTTCTTTCTGAGTAGTTCATTATTGTTTAAGACAAATATGTTTAGTATCTTACTTCAGTGTAATTTACTTATTGACTATATTACAGATCAATAACACAAAGTAGCATATTTATTTACTAACATAACATGGAGTGCTATACATATAGATTAATCAATGAAGGAGTGTATCTGAAAACAAAACAATAAAGAACAAGAAAGACCAGTGGTAAAACACATAGTGACAAAAGGAGTTTATTTTGCTTAATACTTATCATTGATTATGATTATGTACATAAAAAGTGACAATATTGCCTTGAAATTAGTATTTGGAATGTTTGCACAAATAAATTTCTGAATTGGCCTTTTCAAAGATTTCTTTTTTATTCTTATTTATCATTTATAAGTATCAATTGAGCTTTAAAATTTATACTTTTAACACTAATTATAATATGATTTTTTTTTTACCTGGTGCTTTTTTATTTTATTATATTTATGTATTTTTTTTGTTAGATCTGAGTTGAAATACATAGCATCTAATCATTTAAGTTCACTAAAAAGTTTTGCTGCGCACAAAGTTCATGTCATTTTTTTCATCACGTTTCATCACGTCTCAGTATAAATTTTCAAAGCTGATTTATTATAATTAATAATAATATGCAAAATTATCTTTTTAAGGATTAAATTGATATGTATGTGGTGAAGCTCCAGACAATTTATTTGTCAAAATTAAAGTAATTATTTATAATCCAAACACTGACAAATTTTAGAATGATTAAAAAAAAGAACAAATTTAAATTGATATTTCCAGAATCATTTTCAACATTAATATAAATGTGTATCTTCCTTCAAATATCATGATAAAAAGGTAGATTTGCATCAGAGAGAAAAAAATAAATGGTTAAATGAATTACCAATCTTTCTTATTGGCCAACTTGAAAGATGCAATAATTGCTGTCACTGATGATCACAATTTTATGATAAATGTAAACAACACTTCATTTTTATTTTTCTTCTTCTTTCCAGAAGATGCCATTACTCATACTGAAGCTCCTACTCGTAATAAGTGTTCTTGTCAATAAAACCAACAGCATCACCATCACCAGACAGCTAGGCCAGGCAGACATATTCACTGTCCCAGATTGTAAGCAGGCAATCTGTGTGGCATACCAAGCCGAGGCATACAGGACATGTGAGTGCCAGTGTGACAGTGCGACACCCACATATTACGAGTCCCAAGAGATCTGTATCAGTAAACTCACTGGTAAGAATTTTAATGATTTTAGTAATTGATTCATCCTGAATATTGTCACGAGTCTCACCTGATCATAACCACAGTGCTGAATTCAGCCCCAGTACTTTCCAAAATGGAGAGAAAAATTTAGACACACCCTGAGGCATAGAAAATACATGCTTTATGCTCTAAGTATTGCAAAATACCCCAAAGTGCGCTGTTTTTTCTTGGTTTAGGGTGGAGATTAGGACAATATTTTTGTATTCTTCTGCTATTTAGAACACTATTCGTGTAAGGTGACAAAAAGAAACCAAAATTCAAAGTAGACTTTTAAATATCTGTTTGTATCTGTCTGTCGCTGTCCAATGAATTTAAAACATAACCCATTGTGTAGCACACCCACTCATCTGACATCTTCACCACACCTAACAATTATCCAATGCATAGTCAATACTGAATACTTAAAATAAGAATATTGATTCAGTTTTCACACACTTTAAACTGGCTACACCCCAAAGGTCAGACTGATCATATATGAATCACACATATTTCTTTTCTCATAACTTCAAAAACATATGGCCCTTGATAAAAAGGGCAGCTATTAATTTGGGAGGAGCAAAAAAATCTTATTTTATGACTTATGCTTTGGTGGAGCGCCATTTTAAGAAATTCAGAATCCTCCCATGTTTAAAGCCAATTTATAGGCATTTCTATTTTGGTATAGTTAGGTGTATAATACCTGTTTTTTGATACCATTGAATTATTCAATTTCAAAGTTTGGTCCATTTTACATGATTTAAATAGCCCATACATTAAATTTAATTTGCCTTGCAGAGTGCCAAGACATATACTTGAAAGACAAAATAGATAGGATAGTGCCAGTTGTTTTACCTCTAACAGGGCAGACAGTTGCACCATATGTTCCATTGTACAGAAAAGGTAATACTATATTGTTTTAAATGAGCGATAACTTTGGCTCATAACATATATTTTAACTTCAATTAAGTATTGATAGCTAACTGATTTTAAAGATGGTTAATATGCAAGACATGATGTGACAAAATGTAAAATTGTTGTGTTTCTCTTTCAGATATTGCAAAGATTGCAAAATTTCCACTTATATTGAATATTTCTATAAAATTTTAAGTTTATGACAACATGATATTAATTTATCGTCCTTTTGATCAGTGTCAAACAATTTATGTCATAACTATCAAACACCACAAATTCAAGAATACTTTTTAATTGTTAAATTTAATTTAATTGTTCCAGATGGCTCTTCCCCGAGTCCCTTGGGTCAGTATTCTTGTTCTTTGAAATCTGTGCTTCATTTGACCAATGACGGTTGGATCACGTTTGGCAATCTAGAGAGCGACATTGGATTTATCAGCTACAAAAACGAAAGAGATGGGAACATCTATTTACAAGTATGTGGCTTCTTTGCCAAGTTTGATTGTGTGTATTGGTCACAGATGCTTACATTTGATTACAAGAATCAACTCTTTATTTATTTATTTATTTATTTTTATTTTTTTTTTGGGGGGGGGGGGAAGTCAGTGTATTTCACTTTACAAGTATCAACTCTTTATTTGGGGGGAGAGGCAAACTCAGTGTATTAAAGGAAATTTTCTACACACTACAAGAAAATGGAAACACTTTCAGAAGCAAAGTTGAAATAAGTGGCCATGCCCATGTTTGGATGAAAAAGAGAAAAAGAGAGAGCATACTTTAAATGTACTTTTGAATTTCAGTTTGTATCAGCTGCAGACAAATTTACCTTTTAGCAGGTGAATAACACTGTCAAAAAAAGATCCACATCATATCTGCCAAGTGGTCCATTATAACTTGGGGACAGTTCACATGAAAAATCTATTTTCTAAAGATCTAAAAATCTATTGGCGGTATCTTGTGATCACCGTCTGTGCCCTGAATATCCCCCGCATTGTAATTACCAAAGTGCAAGCGAGTTACTTCCAAAGCTGTAATTAATTCTCGGCTGCACTCGGAGGAGATTGTCATACCTTGACGCTACTGCCAATAGATTTTTAAAAAATAGATTTTTCTTGTGAACGGTCCCTTAAGCAACTGCCCATATCCTACATGAAAATTTGAATGCTCACATGAATGCTGAAGAAACACTTTAGGTCACCTCCCATCTCCTGCTGCTCAGAGCCTAGGGACTTCCAGTTGGGCACAGTTCTAATTTTTTTCAGGTTTTTAGTCTAGACATATATATATATATATATATATATATATATATATATATATATATATATATATATATATATATATACCGGGGCTGTAGCAATAGTTTGAAGGTTCATTGGTCCGAAGTTTTGATAATCCAAATGAATGCATGAATAAAGTGTATAGTGTACTGGTAATACAGCGAAGTTCATCAGAGGTGCATGCATACAATTTTTTTACCAATGAACCTTCAGATTATCGACACGTCCTCGATATAATACTTGTATATTATTTGGCTGCTATCTTGATTTCTTGTTTTCCAGTGGAAAGGTGATAGTGAGTTAGCAGCTCAGGTGACCGGGAGACTGGTAAAGATAGCTTGGAAGTGTCCTCAGTTTACACAGGAACAGTGTATTACAGTGAAGATTACAGGAACACAGGGTAAAGATGTGGCAAAATTCAAATATTTTGTTTAAAAAATAATCATAAAACAGTCAGTGAATCACATGTAGGATTAATTTTGTGAATATACACAAACAGAGCAAATAATTGCATGGGATCAGATTCATTAACAACATAACTGAATAGAAACTGCATGATACAGAAAGTGGTGCTTGAAAAGATTTATTTCTTGTATTTTACCATATGTACATGCTTATATTCAGATACAGAAGCCATGGCAACTCTGACCAATGAGCAGTTGATTCTCATCATCAGTGGCATCATAGCATTTGTCGTCCTTGCCATAGCTGTGATGGTGTGTGTTTGTGTTATACTGCACAGGAACAGGAAAGATAGGCAAAAGCTTATCAATTCCACCCTAAGCAAAGAAATGTTTGTTCTGAGGTCACCTGGGGAGGTAAGTAGGTCAAGGTCATTATGAGGTTAACATTTGACCTTGTAATTTGAAGTTAAAGGTCAATGAAAATTTTTCCACATACAGCTGTAAGTGTTTTCAGTGATCATCAGTATCAGCTTTATTAATGGGTATCAGACAATATGGCAGTTCCTATGTATTTGACCACATCTGCATATATATATATATATATATATATATATATATATATATATAAAGTGAGTTGATGAAATTGTTTGTACCTTATATCTTACAGTACCCTACTGGCTCAGTAGGCAGTGCAGCCAATCCTCACACTGGAGATAAAATTCAACTCATAAATGGAGCAGATACTTTTCCCAGGGTGAAAACCACCCATGAGAAAGTAGGTTGTTTTCTTAGGTGTAATGAATATCAACTGTAAGAAAGCTAACACACAAGTAAATTTCAAAGACTAAAACCACCTACTTAAATTTATTTGCAAGATATAGATAATGTATTACTTACAAGTGGAAGTGTAACATGTAGTGCATAATTGTTTTTTTTTTTTCTTCAAACTTTTTTCCTTTTTTTTTTTTTTTTTTTTTTTTTTTTTTTTTTTTTTTTTTTTTTAAAAATTTTNCGCTTAGTATTGCAAAATACCCCAAAGTGCTCCGTTTTTTCTCGGTTTAGGGTGGAGATTAGGACAATATTTTTGTATTCTTCTGCTATTTAGAACACTATTCGTGTTAGGTGACAAAAAGAAACCAAAATTCAAAGTAGACTTTTAAATATCTGTTTGTGTCTGTCTGTCACTGTCCAATGAATTTAAAACATAACCCATTGTGTTGTACATTTCTTGAAGGCACTAGCACACCCACTCATCTTCACCACACCTAACAATTACCCAAAACATAGTCAATACTGAATATTTAAAATAAGAATATTGATTCAGTTTTCACACACTTTAAACTGGCTAAACCCCAAAGGTCAGACATATCTTATATGAATCACATATATTTCTTTTCTCATAACTTCAAAACCACGACCCTTGATAAAAAGGGCAGCAATTAATTTGGGAGGGGCAAAAAAATCTTATTTGGTGACTTATGCTTTGGTGGAACCCTGTTATAAGAAATCTGGAGTCCTCCCATGTTTAAAGCTAATTGGGCAGAAATTTCTATTTTGGTATAATTAGGTGTATAATACCTGCTTTTTGATACCTTTGGCTGATCCAGTTTCAAAGTTTGAACCATTTTACATGATTTAAAAAGCCTATACATAAAATTTAATTCACCTTTCAGAGTGCCAAGACATATACTTGAAAGACAGAATAGATAGGATAGTGCCAGTTGTTTTACCTCTAACAGGGCAGACAGTTGCACCATATGTTCCATTGTACAGAAAAGGTAATACTGTATTGTTTTTAAACAATTTAAAAATGAGCAATAACTTTGGCTCATAACATATATTTTAACTTCAATTAAGTATTGATAGCTAACTGATTTAAAAGATGTTTAATATGCAAGACATGATGTGGCAAAATGTAAAATTGTTCTGTTTCTCTTTCAGATATTGCAAAAATTGCAAAATTCCCACTTATATTGAATATTTCTATAAAATTTTAAGTTTGTGACAACATGATATTAATTTATCGTCCTTTTGATCAGTGTCAAATGATTTATGTCATAATTATCAAAATTTCAGACACCACAAATTCAAGAATACTGTTTAATTGTTTAATCAAATTTAATTGTTCCAGATGGCTCTTCCCTGAGTCCCTTGGGTCAGTATTCTTGTTCTTTGACCTCTGTGCTTCATTTGACCAATGACGGTTGGATCACATTTAGCAATCCACAGAGTAAAGTCGGATTTATCAGCTACAAAAACGAGAGAGATGGGAACATCTATTTACAGGTATGTGGATTCATTGCCAAGTTTGATTGTGTGTACTGGTCAGAGATGCATGGGTTTGATTGCAAGTATGAACTCTTTATTTGGGTGGATGGGGAGGCAAAGTCAGTGAATTTAAGGAAAATTTCTGCACTCTAAAAGATAATGGAAACATTTTAAAAGTTTAAATAAGTGGCCATGGCCGGTTGGGCACAGTTCTGACTTTTTCAAGTTTTTAGACTTGTACTATATTGACATACTGGGGCCATAGCAATAGTTTGAAGGTTCATTGGTTGAAGGTTCAATAATCTCAATTAATGCATGGATAAAGTGTATAGTGTACTGGTAATGCAGCAAAGTTCATCAAAGGTGTGTGCATATGATTTATTGGACCAATATGAACCTTAGGATTTTCGAGATCCTCGATATACTACATGTATATTATTTGGCTGCTATCTTGATTTCTTGTCTTCCAGTGGAAAGGTGATAGTGAGTTAGCAGCTCAGGTGACCGGGAGACTGGTAAAGGTAGCCTGGGAGTGTTCTCAGTTTACACAGGAACAGTGTATTACAGTGAAGATTACAGGAACACAGGGTAAAGATGTGACAGAATTCAAATATTTTGTTTAAAAAATAATCATAAAACAGTCAGTGAATCACATGTAGGATTAATTTTGTGAATATACACAAACAGAGCAAATAATTGCATGGGATCAGATTCATTAACAACATAACTGAATAGAAACTGCATGATACACAGGCCCGTAGCCAGCAATTTCAAAAGGGGGGTTCTTTTTCTGAAAAAGTGGACCTTTTCCCATAAAAACTTCATGTACCTAGCTCAAATTTTACCCAGAGTGGACCTTTTCCCAGCAAAAGGGGCGGTTCTTTCGAAACCCCCCTGGCTACGGGCCTGATACAGAAAGTGGTGCTTGAAAAGGTTTATTTCTTGTATTTTACCATATGTACATGTATAATTTACATATAAAATTGCTTATATTCAGATACAGAAGCCATGGCAACTCTGACCAATGAGCAGTTGATTCTCATCATCAGTGGCATCGTAGCATTTGTCGTCCTTGCCATAGCTGTGATGGTCTGCGTTTGTGTTATACTGCACAGGAACAGGAAAGATAAGCAAAAGCTCATCAATTCCACCCTAAGCAAAGAAATGTTTGTTCTGAGGTCACCTGGGGAGGTAAGTAGGTCAAGGTCATTATGAGGTTGACATTTGACCTTGTAATTTGAAGTAAAAGGTCAATGAAAAATTTTCCACATACGACTGTAAGTGTTTTCAATGATCATCAGTTTCAGCTTTATCAATGGGTATTAGACAATATGATAGTTCTTATGTATATATTTGACCGCAGCTGCATATATAAAGTGACTTGACGAAGTTGTTTGTACCTTATATCTTACAGTACCCTACTGGCTCAGTAGGCAGTGCAGCCAATCCTCACAATGGGGATAAAATTCAACTCATAAATGGAGCAGATACTTTTCCCAGGGTGAAAACCACCCATGAGAAAGTAGGTTGTTTTCTTTGGTGTGATGAATATCAACTGTAAGAACGCTAACACACAAGTAAATTTCAAAGACTAAAACCACCTACTTAAATTTATTTGCAAGATATAGATATTGTATTACTTACAGGTAGAAGTGTAACATGTTGTGCATAATTGTTTTTTTTTTTTCTTCAAACTTTTTGTTTTCCTTTTTTTTTTTTTTTTTTGGAAAATAATTGAAATGTAACATTTTTCATAACAGAAATACTACAAAAAGGGAGAACAGAGGGTAATTGAGCGTGTCACTCCAGACGGACAAAGCGTGGAAGGCAGAACAGTTTACGATGTGCGCCATTACTACGACAGCTGGCACAGAATGCAGAATAAATTTGGAAGCCAGTATAAAGCTGGTGTTGCTACGGTGATGAGGCCAGAGCATCACATGGCTCTGGATAATTCAGAGCTGTCATCTGAAGCAGCTGCCAACCTGGCAAATCTGTGGTCTGGGGGGCCTGGAAGTTCTGGTTCTAGCCCAGAACGCCATCAGGATGGAGGAGTAGTGAATGAGGGATACATACCATATGATGGAATGGCTGTGAGCATCCCCACCTCACATCACAAAGAAAGTTCCCCAGGTCACAAGAGTGCAGCCTTATTCCAAGCACCAGATGATGGTCTAAACTCCATGTCTTTGGAGAAGGTGACTTCATTTTCTAAGGACGGCACATCAGCTGTAACAAAATGCAGCAAAAATCATAGCACAGTGGAAGTGTCTGTGGATTTTTCCAGTGACACCTCAACAATGCAATCCCAAGATGCTGCTCAAAAGCGACAACGTCAAGACAGGACCCCTCCTCCACCCGCGCCTCTAAAGCCCAGTCTGAAGAAACCCAGTCCAGCACGTGAGGAAGCAGACACATCCACACAGGTCAAAGTCATGGCAGATGTCCACTCCTCCAGTCAGATAGAGAGGGAGGAACACAGAAATGCTTCATTACGATCCAATGGGCACGGACGCCCCTGGACAGACAAGAAAAAAGACACAGACAACAGAGTGGCAGCTGCAGTGGCCAAAATTAACAGTAAAAACAGTAAAAATAGTAAAAAGGACATTAACTCTAGGAATTATGTTCCTGAGAGATATGACATTCCTGTGACAATTATTGATCTCCCCGATGGAAATGGTGATATCTCAGTGTCCCCAATTCAAGGGAACCCTGGTGACGATGTCCCTGTCACCGTCATTGACTTGCCAGATGAGCAGTCGTCAATATTTAACGACAGCAACTGGAGCTACTCGATTGAAGCCGAAAACAAAGACACTCCTTTGCAAAGAGAACAGAGGAAACCAAAGAATCATGGTGACTCGAAAAATCAGAGTGATCCTGGGTCACCATCATGGCGACCAACTGTATTGGGTTATCCGTGGACACAGACTGATTCTAATGATACCAGTGATAGTGTGCAAATTGGGCCTGGGTCTATGCAAAGAGTTATGACAAGCACACCTCGGAGAGATGCTCCCTCTCCACCATATGAAGATATGACTCCGTCCTTTCCACAGAACAGTGTAACTGACACTGGAGTGGATAATAACGATGCACCATCATCTATTGAGACTAATGATATTGCCAAACCTTCCTTGAATAATTTAGACACATCACCAGATGGTGCTGCAATTGTGCCTCAGCAGATGACCAATCATCATGAGTTTAACATTCCTACTTCAACAGCTGAGATTCCAGCCAGGAGGAGCCCTGTTCCTGCCAAGAAGAGAAAACCCCAAAAGAAATCAATCTTCAACTTCAAGGGTGGAAAAAAAGACAAGAAGGAAAAACAACATAAAAAGGGGCATGGATCTAAATCTGACTCTAAATTCGACCCCTCTCATGCGGACAGAGTAAGGATAAGTACCGATCCAAGTCCAGTTCGCTCTGACCAATCATCTTGGATGAATCCGTCACCAGTTCCAGACCCAGCTGGGCCTGTGCTTGTTAAACGTAATGGCGAATTGATTGATAGAAGCTATGCACCTTTGGCAGGTAGAAACAGTCTGAGTGCAGATGAACTGGAGAGATATCAGGCAGGGGTGGGGATACCTCCAGCAGACATGGAACGTGACATTTCAGAGAAGAGGATGCCATCTAGTGGAAAGAGCTCTCCGAGTGGTTCAGGAAAAAATAAGAACCTTTCCTTTGGTGTTGTTGAGTTTATACCAAATCAAAACATGTAACTTTGAGGTGTTTACCTGTATAAAAGTGATTAAAAGGTGTACTTTAAACAGGAAGTGATATTTTAATATCGGAAGTTATAAACTGTAGTCAAATAATATACATTACATTGTTCTATTTTTAATGTACATGGCTTTTTATAGTAATATTGTAGAATACTCAATTAAAACTCTAAGAGTATTTTCATGTATCAAGTTCAATTAAAATTGAAATACTATGACAGTTACCTATACTTCAGTGGTAAAATAGTTTATATTCATTGTTACATTGCTAAATCAAGTACTAGTATCTAGTAAACAAAATAAGACATTGTAGTCCAGAATACATGTACAATTTAAGTTTCACCCTTTTACTGAATAATTTTTATTTACTTATTCTGGTCCCAATTGAAGCTTTATATCATATATAACTTTAATGTAAACGAGATGTATACTTGTGGTTTGGACTGATTTACACCAATTCTTAAAATATACCTATGAAACTTTGCTCAGTTATCTCTTCTGTAGAATAAAACACTATTAAACATATGGCCTTATTGCCACAGAAGACATATGGTGTATAATTTAAATTTATGTATAATTAATAGAATATTTCTATTGTTTTGTGATTTATTTTAGAAATGATTTTAAATGAGATTAGACAGATATTAAATAATTACATAAAATCAGGTTATTGAGATTAGATCAATGTCACTGTAGAGATTTTTCTTTTATAAGTTTCACAAATGAGATTGTAATTATTATAATTATGCCTAGGATATATATTTTAAAGTGGATTGTTTTCCCAGAGTTTGCAAGTTAAAGAGATCCAATTAGATAACCTTAAAAGTGAACTGATATTATGTTAAATATCTATTCAGAAACTGATTGTCATCAATGCCAGTCCAAAGGACAATGTAAAATTCAGCCACAAAATAATAACATGTTATCCATATCATTGCCTGCATACTTTAGAATGCAACTAGCAAGGGTAGACTGTTGTTTATTGTTTTAATATATTTATCTTTAGTTTATCTGTGATCTCTCAACAGCATTTTCTTTGATTACATTTCATTGTGTTAGCTGTGTTAAATGAGTAAAGTAATATGATCTCCTGAGGCCAAAGAGCTCAAGTTGAAAGTTGGCCTCAATTTTAAGCAAGGAAACCAATCTAATTTGACCCAGGATAAGTTTGTATTGGTTCCCTTATATAAGAATATTGGGGCAGTTTCACGAAGTAGGAGGTGGCAAACTTTTTTACTTTGACAGTTGGTATTTTAGTGAACTACAGAACAGATTTATATCCTGCTTCAAAGTAGACAAGACTAACTTTCAAGTTAAGTTTTGTGAGACTGAGTGTTCCCTGCTTGAACTGTCCCATAAAAATATAATACAATTATTGCTCAATAAATAAAATATTGAAAAAAAAAACATTTATTAAAAGTTTGTTAACATATTTCTTAATCTTTATCCAAAATGAAGACATCATAAGGCAATTATAATAAAACCTAGTCCCAGAGATGGAAAGCATTTTTAACAATGTAAGGATAAAATGTTTTTCTACCTTCAATTCTACTGGCATTCAGCAGGCTAACATCACAGACTAAAGATGCATCATTTCTAAGGATGAGTAAAGATTTCTTGAAAATTCAAAATGCCATTTTAGTACATATTTACACTGAACTGTTTTCAATTTTCTACTCTCAATAGTTACAATTATGAGCTAATATGCTGCCTGAACAAGTAGATTCAATTACACCTAATAAGTGCTTGATTAAGTGTTGACTAGTTCTTGTAACCAGATATCTGGAAAAACTTCATCAGCGAAGCCCATTTACAAATAATTCTATCATACATCACAATGCTATAAGAACATGTTTCCTGATTCTGCACTTCTTCAACTATTATGCATTTAAAATTCTAATGACATGAAATATATGAGCAGAAAAAAGATGAGTCACACTAGGAAGACAATCTACAGGTAGTAATAAAAAGTTGGCATAAAAATAGTAAATTTGTTACATTTACAAAAATAGAAGATAAGATAAAACAATAAAGGACTGACCCTTATCTTTACTGGTAAAATCGTATTTTAACCATGGTGCTACTAATAATTCACCAGCCTGTTTTACTGGTACAAAGTTATGTTTGAATGGTGAAGAACAGCAGAACATTGTAATGGACTTTCCTGGTAAATAATGTAAGGAATGACACAGCATTCTAGGTGTTCCCATTTTATGTCATGATTTGCAAAAACAGGCTGGAAGGTGTGGTGAACCTTTGATATTTTTCTCTGTGCTTATAGATGGTTTGAGCATTATGTCAGAGAGTGCCAAGGTGGTGAGAAATTACCATCAATCCTACAGGATAATTCCAACCATTTTCAGAGTAAAATAAATAAGTCAATAATAAACCATCTGAAAGATCCTTCAGGTATAGATCATATATATCACTTCTAGGCAATATTCTAGATGACCAAGTGGTCATGACGCAGCTTTTGTGAACTGTGAACATCTGGTCGCCTGCAACAAATTACATCCAATTAAAAAGTTAAATATGCAAACCATCAATAAACCCAGACATACTATCATGATGTCACAGTAATAGCACAAGGCAGGTGGTCCAAACAATGTTCCATAAAAGGCGGGATGCTGCAGAAGATCTGATATACATGAGTGGAAGAGGGCCCTCCTATTGCTGTGGGGGTCCTCGCAGCATTTTAGGCTGAATTCCATGTTTTTTCATGAAGGATATGAACTGTTCTGGTATCTCTGCTAGTACTTCCTTAGCAAGCCTGGCTTTTGTCATCTCTACATTCTGTTGTCCAGCACTGAGGAACTGCCTGATGGGAACAAACTGGAAAGAACAGGAAGCAATAAGAGATTTTAAAAAAATACAATTACAATTCTAACTACTAAAAATAACAGTAAAAAAAAACTCTGAAAATGCCAACTGATGAAAGGGTTGTAACTTGAGGTATGCTACTTCATCAAAAAAAATTCTTAAATAAAAAAGATTGAAAATGTATACACATGTCAGAGGTACACTAAAATGCACTGAAATTCCATATATTCATAGACAACATTGCTTGAGAAAAAGGGCACATGTTAACTACTCAGACTGAACTAGACATTATCTACCATTATAGGTGAAATGTAAGAATATTTTCTCACCTGTACAATATCCCTCTCTGCATACCTGCCATGTGACTGCAGTCTCTGGTTGTCACTGTCCAGCTCCTCCATAGCTGAAAGGAAGATGATCTACTTAAAATACGGACAAGAAGAAGAGAAAACACTGTGTGAGCAAAGATACTACTTTTTCTCACCTTGAATTTAGCAAAGAAAGGCTATCTATAAGCAACACAAATCCTACAATGATAATTTCAAATTATACATGTAAACCAAAAAATTTTTTTTCATCATATTCCACAGAATTACACTGAACAGTGGCAATAACAAGGTCTTTTGATAATAAAGATGACAATTTAAATTTCATTCTTGAAAAGAAGATTCCCAAATTGCATTAAAAACGAATAAATAAAATAAAACTAGAAAAGTTTCGTGGAAAGCAATTTTGAGATTTAACATATAACTTACCTGAGAAATCTGCATCCCCAACTCCCACTATGATAATGGACATGGGCAGCACTGAGGCCTAGAAATGGAAACATCCAATATAAATATTGGTCAAAATTCTAGTACTGTGGACACCTATGTGGCAGCCCTCATCAATAACGTTAATGGCAAAACGTTATGCATATTAGGTGACCAGCCCATATGGTCACTTACATTCATTATTCTGTTTTAGATCTGTGCTGCACTTCAGCCAAGTCTAGTACCAGATTTCTTTGTTCTTCATTTGTGTTTTGCATCATCTTGTTTGATATCTTCAAGTTAATGTCTTCATATTATCATGTGGAACAATTAACACATCTCTCTTGCATAATACAACAGAACAGAATAGAATAGAATAGAGTAGAGTAGAATAAAACTATCCACCCAACCTCTACCTACATGTATAATAGCATCTTTGGTATAGGGCATGTCTGTTATCACGCCATCAGTGAGGATCAGCAGTACGAAGTAGTTAGAGCCGTCTTTGTACGCCTCTGCAAATCTAAAATAAGAGAGATCATTAGTATTTCTGATTTTATAATGAAATATGATAGTCAGACAGATACTATACTAGTATATAGTTCAAGACGAGTAGTGCTAAAACTACTGTTACAGTAACAGTTCTTACTTTTTCAGCAGATTTAACCAAATTTTTATTATTGCTGGACATCATAACAATTGTGTCCTAATACTGATCCAATGTCTACACCACTTCCCTGTGCAAAATACTGAACAGTTGCAGCAGAGTTCCACTAATAGGTCTCTTTTCAATTAAGTGCACCAAACTGTCAAACATATCAACATTAAAACTCCATTTTGAAGCCACAAACAGGTTCTTTTTCATATTACCTAGCAACATGGTTGATAACAGGGGCAAAGTTGGTTGGTCCATACAACTGCACAGTACTGAGGGCCTGGTAGTATGCCTGCATTACCCCCTCTATACCCTGGCAATATGGGTTGTTAGGCTGGCCATTCTGGAAGGAAAATATCAAATGAATGCTAGACTCACAATGACAAAGTAGAAGTTGATGAAAAGATGATCAAAATTATTAATGGCTATTAGAAAAATGAATTTTGTTGAATATCTAAACTTAATTTTTTCTCGTTTTTACATTTGAGCACAATAATGTTTTCGGTAAATTGTTTCAAACAAAAATTCGGTCAGCTTTCACTTCATAACTGGTAGGGTTGCACTATCTGCTGTTTACTGTTTCCACAAAATGAACCATTATAACCTTAGCCTTGTGCTGCCATCTACAGAAGAGTAGCAGGTGCATTGTGGGACTCACCAAGAAGAACTCATGCGACACCCTGCCATCTGGTGGGAGTCTGGCTCCGAAACCCAGTGCTGGGAACATCTTGTCACTGGAAAAGAGAAATAATGTAAAAGATAAGGCAAGAAAATTAATTATTTATTTGAAAGTTAAAACACTTAACTTTACAGTGATCGGACAGCACATTTAAGACATTGTGATCATTATATATGTGAGCTGAGAATACATTCACCTCACATGAAAACTCATATTCATAAGCATTACTTTGCAGTAAAATATAGCCCCAAAGGTCTTTATTAACACTGAAAACTGAGAAATTCAATAAGCTTTGCTTAAACTTTAATCATCCTTAAATCCTTTGCATGTACACCAAATTAGTGGTCTGTTGTAAATTTTTCATGAAAATTCTAACAGCTTACAAGAACTTTCCAATGATATATTAATTTTTTGTCCAGATCCCGTTTCATTAAAGAAAACTTAAGTCAGGTTTCCTGGCTAAGAACTTAATTTCCAAGGTTACATGGTCANACATACAGCTTCAATAGGTAACGCAGTCTGTTTGGTAAATATTTCTGGCAATTTAACAGTTTTTTGTGAAAATTTAATTTTTCACTTATTTGCATCTTTATTTTCTGTTCTTTGTCTGTACATTTGACAGCTTTGCTGCCTTGTTATTTACTTATTCTGGTCCCAATGCATTGAAGCTTTATATCATATATAACTTTAATTTAAATGAGATGTATACTTGTGGTTTGAAACTTTGCCCAGTTATCTCTTCTGTAGAATAAAACTATTAAACATATGGCCTTATTGCCACAGCAGACATATGGTGTATAATTTAAATTTATGTATAATTAATAGAATATTTCTATTGTTTTATGATTTATTTTAGAAATGATTTTAAACGAGATTAGACAGATATTAAATAATTACGTAAAATCAGGTTATTGAGATTAGATCAATGTCACTGTAGAGATTTTTCTTTTATAAGTTTCACAAATGAGATTGTAAATATTATAATTATACCTAGGATATATATTTTAAAGTGGAATTTTCCCAGAGTTTGCAAGTTAAAGAGATCCAATTAGATAACCTTAAAAGTGAACTGATATTATGTTAAATATCTATTCAGAAACTGACTGTCATCAATGCCAGTCCAAAGGACAATGTAAAATTCAGCCACAAAATAATAATATGTTATCCATATTATTGCCTGCATACTTTAGAATGCAACTAGCAAGGGTAGACTATTGTTTATTGTTTTAATATATTTATCTTTAGTTTATCTGTGATCTCTCAATAGCATTTTCTTTGGTGACATTTCATTGTGTTAGCTGTGTTAGAGTGTTAGAGGAGTAAAACAATATGATCTCCTGAAGCCAAAGAGCTCAAGTTGAAAGTTGGCCTCAATTTTAAGCAAGAAAACCAATCTAATTTGACCCAGGATAAGTTTGTATTGGTTCCCTTATATAAGAATATTGGGGCAGTTTCACGAAGTAGGAGGTTGCAAACTTTTTTACTTTGACAGTTGGTATTTTAGTGAACTACAGAACAGATTTATATCCTGCTTCAAAGTAGACAAGACTAACTTTCAAGTTAAGTTTTGTGAGACTGAGTGTCCCCTGCTTGAACTGTCCCATAAAAATATAATACAATTATTGCTCAATAAATAAAATATTGAAAAAAAAAACATTTATTAAAAGTTTGTTAACACATTTCTTAATCTTTATCCATAATGAAGACATCTTACTGCAATTATACTAAAACCTAGTCCCAGAGATAGAAAGCATTTTTAACAATAATGGAAGTATAAAATATTTTTTTCTTATCAAGTATTGAATGGTAAAGTCACACATCTTAAACAAGTAGAATTATTGATGGTCTGATTGTTGATACTAAAAACTACAATAACAGGTTCAAACAGATGCAAATTAATCTAATTGACCCTGCCCATGACTTGCTGCAGTTTACGGTAAAAAATGCAGTAGGCATGACTATTAGCAACAATTTCTATGTAACTCAGCAAGAAAGATTTGAAGTGGAGTCCTCTGTAATTAAAATTTGCTGCCTTAGAATGAAACAGAGCGCAGTGACACATTTACAAAATTTCACGGGCCTACCTTCAATTCAACTGGCATTCAGCAGGCTAACATCACAGAATAAAAATGCATCATTTCTAAGGATGAGTAATGATTTTTTGAAAATTCAAAATGCCATTTTAGTACATATTTACATTGAACTGTTTTCAATTTTCTACTCACAATTATGAACTAATATGCTGCCTGAACAAGTATTTCAATTACATCTAATACGTGTTTGATTTAGTGTCGACTAGTTTTTGTAACCAGATATCTCGAAAAACTTGATCAGCGAAGCCCCTTTATAAAGAATTCTATCATACATCACAATGCTATATGAACATGTTTCCTGATTCTGCACTTTCTTCAACTATTATGCATTTAAAATTCTAATGACATGAAATATATGAGCAGAAAAAAGACGTGTCACACTAGGAAGACAATCTAAAGGTAGTAATAAAAAGTTGGCAAAAAATAGTAAATCTGTTACATTTACAAAAATAGAAGATGAGATAAAACAATTAAGGACTGACCCTTATTTTTACAGGTAAAATTGTCTTATGACCGTGGTGCTACTAATAATTCACCAGTCTGTTTTACCAACACCAACCCCTGCGAAAATTTGTCTCATTTAACGTTCACAATAACAGTTCTTAATCTGCCCTAGAACAGGTTTTTCTCTTTTCATGAAAAATGTTCTTAATCTGTTCTTGAAATGTTACATTCATTACAGAACAACATTAGAACTGTGAAAAAAAATACACAAAATGTTCTGGAAGAGACTGAGAACTGTAAGTGAACATTAAATGAGACAAATTAAATGAGACAAATTTTCCCGGGGGAAGTTATCTTTGAATGGTGCAGAACGGCAGAACATTGTAATGGACTTTCCTGGTAAATAATGTAAGGAATGACACAGCATTCTAGGTGTTCCCAATTTATGTCATGGTTTTCAAAAACAGGCTGGAAGATGTGGTGAACCTTTGATATTTTTCTCTGTGCTTATAGATGGTTTGAGCATTATGTCAGATAGTGCCAAGGTGGCGAGAAATTACAAGCAATCCTACAGGATAATTCCAACCATTTTCAGAGTAAAATAAATAAGTCAATAATAAACCATCTGAAAGATCCTTCAGGTATAGATCATTTATATCACTTCTAGGCAATATTCTAGATGACCAAGTGGTCATGACGCAGCTTTTGTGAACTGTGAACATCTGGTCGCCTGCAACAAATTACATCCAATTAAAAAGTTAAATATGCAAACCATCAATAAACCCAGACATACTATCATGATGTCACAGTAATAGCACAAGGCAGGTGGTCCAAACAATGTTCCATAAAAGGCGGGATGCTGCAGAAGATCTGATATACATGAGTGGAAGAGGGCCCTCCTATTGCTGTGGGGGTCCTCGCAGCATTTTAGGCTGAATTCCATGTTTTTTCATGAAGGATATGAACTGTTCTGGTATCTCTGCTAGTACTTCCTTGGCAAGCCTGGCTTTTGTCATCTCTACATTCTGTTGTCCAGCACTGAGGAACTGCCTGATGGGAACAAACTGGAAAGAACAGGAAGCAATAAGAAATTTTAAAAAAATACAATTACTATTCTAACTACTAAAAATAACAGTAAAAAAACCTCTGAAAATGCCAACTGATGAAAGGGTTGTAACTTGAGGTATGCTACTTCATCAAAAAAAATTCTTAAATAAAAAAGATTGAAAATGTATACACATGTCAGAGGTACACTAAAATGCACTGAAATTCCATATCTTCATAGACAACATTGCTTGAGAAAAAGGGCACATGTTAACTACTCAGACTGAACTAGACATTATCTACCATTATAGGTGAAATGTAAGAATTTTTTCTCACCTGTACAATATCCCTCTCTGCATACCTGCCATGTGACTGCAGCCTCTGGTTGTCACTGTCCAGCTCCTCCATAGCTGAAAGGAAGATGATCTACTTAAAATACGGACAAGAAGAAGAGAAAACACTGTGTGAGCAAAGATACTACTTTTTCTCACCTTGAATTTAGCAAAGAAAGGCTATCTATAAGCAACACAAATCCTACAATGATAATTTCAAATTATACATGTAAACCAAAAAAATTTTTTTCATCATATTCCACAGAATTACACTGAACAGTGGCAATAACAAGGTCTTTTGATAATAAAGATGACAATTTAAATTTCATTCTTGAAAAGAAGATTCCCAAATTGCATTAAAAATGAATAAATAAAATAAAAATAGAAAAGTTTCGTGGAAAGCAATTTTGAGATTTAACATATAACTTACCTGAGAAATCTGCATCCCCAACTCCCACTATGATAATGGACATGGGCAGCACTGAGGCCTAGAAATGGAAACATCCAATATAAATATTGGTCAAAATTCTAGTACTGTGGACACCTATGTGGCAGCCCTCATCAATAACGTTAATGGTAAAACGTTATGTATATTATGTGACCAGCCCATATGGTCACTTACATTCATTATTCTGTTTTAGATCTGTGCTGCACTTCAGCCAAGTCTAGTACCAGATTTCTATGTTTTTCATCTGTGTTTTGCATCATCTTGTTTGATATCTTCAAGTTAGTTAATGTCTTCATATTATCATGTGGAACAATTAACACATCTCTCTTGCATAATACAACAGAACAGAACAGAATAGAATAGAATAGAGTAGAGTAGAACTATCCACCCAACCTCCACCTACATGTATTATAGCATCTTTGGTATAGGGCATGTCTGTTATCACGCCATCAGTGAGGATCAGCAGTACGAAGTAGTTAGAGCCGTCTTTGTACGTCTCTGCAAATCTAAATAAGAGATCATTAAAACATGGTATTTCCATTTTATGATGAAATTTGATAGTCAGACAGATATTGTATATGTATTCAAATTTCAAGATGAGTAGTGCTAAAACTACAGTAACTGTTCTTACTTTTTCAGAAAGTTTATCCAATTTCTTAATTAATGGACATCACGACTACTGATCCATTGTATAGACCACTTTTCTGTACAAAGTAGTGAACAGTTGCAGTCCCATTACAAACAAACAGGTCTGTTTTCAATTAAGTACACCAAACTGCCAAACATATCAACATTAAAACTCCATTTTGAAGCCACAAACAGGTTCTTTTTCATATTACCTAGCAACATGGTTGATAACAGGGGCAAAGTTGGTTGGTCCATACAACTGCACAGTACTGAGAGCCTGGTAGTAGGCCTGCATCACCCCCTCTATACCCTGGCAATATGGGTTGTTAGGCTGGCCATTCTGGAAGGAAAATATCAAAATGAATGCTAAACTCAAAATGGCAAAGTAAAAGTTGATGAAAAGATGATCAAAATTATTAATGGCTATTAGAAAAATGAATTTTGTTGAATATCTAAACTTAATTTTTTTTTCTAGTTTTTACATTTGAGCACAACGTTTTCGGTAAATTGTTTCAAACAAAAATTCAGTCAGCTTTCACATCATAACTGGTAGGGTTGTACTGACTGCTGTTTACTGTTTCCACAAAATGAACTATTATAACCTTAGCCTTGTGCTGCCATCTACAGAAGAGTAGCAGGTGCATTGTGGGACTCACCAAGAAGAACTCATGCGACACCCTGCCATCTGGTGGGAGTCTGGCTCCGAAACCCAGTGCTGGGAACATCTTGTCACTGGAAAAGAGAAATAATGTAAAAGATAAGGCAAGAAAATTAATTATTTATTTGAAAGTTAAAACACTTAACTTTACAGTGATCGGACAGCACATTTAAGACACTGTGATCATTATATATGTGAGCTGAAAATACATTCACCTCACATGAAAACTCATATTCATAAGCATTACTTTGCAGTAAAATGTAGCCCCAAAGGTCTTTATTAACACTGAAAACTGAGAAATTCAATAAGCTTTGCTTAAACTTTAATCATCCTTAAATCCTTTGCACGTACACCAAATTAGTGGTCTGTTGTAAATTTTTCATGAAAATTCTAACAGCTTACAAGAACTTTCCAATGATATATTAATTTTTTGTCCAGATCCCCGTTTCATTAAAGAAAACTTAAGTCAGGTTTCCTGGCTAAGAACTTAATTTCCAAGGTTACATGGTCACATGGGCACATCTTACCCTATCAGGAGCAGTGTAACAGCATTCTCATGGAAATCCTAGTCAACTAAGCCAGGGAGCTGACTTTAATTTTTTTTTTAGTGAAATTGGGGCCAGATCCTACCTATCGTACTCTTGAATTATCTCCCCCACAGCCTGGAGAGCTGTTGCATACTGGTTGGGACCATAAGGGTTCAGATAGTGCAAGGAGGTTGCGGAACGTGGGTCGCCATTGGAAGCTGTGAAATCTATGGCTACTGTGAAATTCATTTCCGTTCTACAAATAGACGAATAACCACGTCAAGCAAGAGGTCACATATAAACCCACCTATCATAGTCCTGGATTATTTCTCCAACTGACATAAGTGCCGTCTGGTACTGGTTGAGTCCATAGGGATTGCGATAATGAAGTGACGTGGACTTTTGTGGGTCTCCATTGGAGGCTGTGAAATCAACAGCCACGGTGAAATTGATCTCAGTCCTAGAGAATAATTCATTTATACAATACATGTCTTTTATAACATGGATGTGTTTTACCACAGTATGACAGCTTTTAAAAAAGTCTGACTACTCTCAAGGTTTTATCATGTGAAAGACAGTTCCATATTTGCACAATTATTTTGAAAGAATGTTATGTCAGATAAGATCATGTTAAAAAATGTGTAAGTTATAACAATAATATTATACAAGGTCCTGAGCAGTTTTATCAATCACTGGCCCAAGATTGTTGAGAAACAAGTTTTAACCAAACAAGTGACCAGGACTAACTCTGAACAGGTGCATGAATACCAGCAATCCTCAAACAATTTGTGTTATTTTAAACAATGTCACAATTACATAGTCAGTCCATTTAATATCTTTTTTGATCTAAGAAAGAATAGACACAGAGTAGACTTATTGCTACTATACATTGTCTATGAAAGTAAAGAATAGTATACAGTGCACTTACCCTCTTTGTACAAAGTTTTAAAAGCTATCAAGTACAATGACTCTCTTTGTAAATAGTCACAAAGTATGGTAGATATATTACTTTTGTACACATGCTAACCCAGGCTGTACATAGTCTAAGACAAATAAAGTACACTTACACTAGCAGCACATACGTAGATAACATAAAGTACACTTACACATGCTGCACATAGTGTAAGACAATATAAAGTACACTTACCCATGCTGTACATAGTCTAAGACAATATAAAGTACACTTACCCATGCTGTACATAGTCTAAGACAATATAAAGTACACTTACCCATGCTGTACATAGTCTAAGACAATATAAAGTACACTTACCCATGCTGTACATAGTCTAAGAAAGTATACTCCTGCACAATGGAGCAGCTCATTAGTTCCACCTGTAAGTTTAAAAATTTTTATAATACTGAAATGAGTTACATGGAAAGATCTTTGGATAAGGGCAGAAAACAACAATATTTGAGGAAAAAATATCTACAAAAATACCGACTTTCTGTGCACTGAATACAAATTCAGTTTCTTTATATTTTCAAGACCATAAATCATACACAACACTGGTATAAACTAAAACAAAGTAAGGCCCAGGCCCTGTTTTTTTTTCAATGAACACAAGAATGATAACCAAATGCAGAAGCATTCTGAACTATTCATCATGACTGGGTAACATCCAACTATTACAAGACATTTAATAATTTTAAGGGATTTAGTACATTACTCACCCGACCAGAATTTTTGTATGATTTCTTTTTTGCTTTCTTCTCCTTGTTGATGACCTAAAATAAAATAAATAAATAAACTGAATTACGTATTACTAAGTTATATATTTCATGAAAGTTATAAATTTCTTTTCTGAAACAAGACCACATTCACTTTATTCCAGACATTGCCTGCAAAACTGAAATACAAAATTACAGGTAAGCAAAGCATGCCTTGTACGGTCACAGGTGTTTTTCTATCATTACTAAATTTAATATGTAATTTTTATATTATCATAATTACTGCATATGTGGAGGACATCTTATAACTTGGGGGTATACTGCATCTAAAGACTTCTGACTGACAGCTGTAAATACACAATCATGATATATCCCTTAGTCCTGAAATAAATCTATTAAATACATACAATCACATAACTTGCTATAATTTAAAAAAAAAACTACTAATAATAGTGCTCCTTACCTCATATACATTATTTGGCACAGGACCATGCGACAATTCCCTTATATTAGTTTGGAATTCTCCAATTATGTCATGACTACAAATAAAATGATAAAATTTAAAACTTAATTATTTAATTAAAAATAGTACCCAACATCCAGTCCAAGTACTAGGATGGCTCAACCAATAATTCCTGAATATAAGATTTGTTTTCGAGGAAAATTAGAATTAGTGAGAAAAGCCTGGATAGGATACCTTTAAGATAAAATGTATTGCACCATGTAACTTTATCTAAGAAATCACATTCACCATTACTGCTCTTAACCCACCTTCCATCACTGTCCCAGTCATAGCATTCCACTTTTATTGACCTGAAATGTAAAGAATAAACTGAATATGCATTTTATTCTTAACTGTACATTAAGGAAAGCACCTTGACATAAGCTTGTTAGTGTCTGCTTTTTTAAGATTTTGTCCATTTAGTGCTTTTTTTAAGTGTCAGTATCATCAGTATTATTTTCAGTATTATTTTTACTACTTCCATTATCCAACTATGCAGCGGTTCAAATATTATATTAACATACCTAACTTATTTCAAATGGCTGTTGAGTAGCCTTCAGCAAATTTTATATCATGCCGTTATACTCTACCTGTCATAGTCTCCGTTACACAATGACCTGACTGGTACTGTAAATGGCCGCCATGTTGGATCCAATGTATTCTTTATTACTTCCGTCTTGTGAACAACAGAATAGCTGAAATAGAACAGTCTCAGCTGTGACACTGCTATACATCATTTATTTATTTGTTGATTGAGTCCAATTATCAGATTAAGTATAGTTTGTGTGTCATCCATTAAAATCCTCATTTGTGATTTAATAATTTTTTTCTTTTTTGCTTCTATTTCATGCTAGGGATAGTTAACTTCATTTTCATATGTAATTAAATAGTCAGCAATAAAAATTTTCTTGACAACCAAGAAAGCCACTTTTATCAGCATTGGTTTATTTACATTTTGTTGGAAGGAAAGGAGCATGTACAAACTTTAATGAATGCATGTCTCTTATTATTTTTAAAATAATTTTAATGCTTTTTTTTTTCCCATGGCAGAAGACATTAGTTTTGTTCATTTTTAAATCAGTTATTAGATTCAAATCCGGTTATACCTGCTATCCTCATTGCATCTGTAGAAAACTAGGAATGGATCAGACTTTCCAAAAAAGTCTTTCTTGTCCAACTTATGAGCTCTAAACTGCATAGTGGCAATTTCCTGAAAAGTATCTTTTTAAATTGTTATGTCTTAAAACTAGAATTGGAATACACAGTCCAACAAAAGGTTATGATGTTCCATTCATATCTACAAATACAATAAAATGACTGTACTTTTAAGCATTTCAGTGCACTAAAGAATCCTAAACTCTTAAGAACTATGATGATTTTCTAAAGTTTTAATCAAAACCAAAAACATGGCCTCTGATGGTTACTATTCCACATAGGTTTTTCACATCTGAAGAATCACATCAAAGAATACCTCAAAATTCCAAATCAAAATTAATGAAAACATACCACTTTCAGTGGCCACAACCAAACTGTCGTTTTTACAGAAAACTTTTAAGAAAAAATATCAAATCAAGTAAAGGAGTGATTGATAATTCTAGTTATTAACCTACCTTGCATTGTGAAACTTCCTCTGCCCTGACTGTAAAAAAAGAAAATAAGCACAAATCAAAGTTTGATTCAAATTCGGCACAAGTCCAAGGATTCCACCCACAGCACATTCACAATAGTTTTTTTATATGAATAATAGCCTAAGTCCCTTGGATATAGTTATTCTCTGACTGTTACAGTAGAAGCTAATCAATATGAGATTGGGGAGGTGGAAGGGGGTAATAAAAACTAATGTAGAAGGTCTTACCTGTTATATGCCCGCAATTACCCGAAAGACCTCTATAATAAAAAAAATTCACGAAAATTGATTTTAATATACTCAATGTAAATAAACACTTTTCATGTTAAAGTTGCTTTCAGTAAAATCCAATGCTTTCAGTAACATTCTTTCACCCTGTAACAAATATAAAACCTGGATTATTTAAAACCTGACAAACTACCTTAATAATACATTGCTATAAGGCTATAAACAAAAGAAATTATGTTATGAAAGTGAAATCCAAACTTTACTTACGTCAGGGGTTTATCAATTTTTGTAGCACTCACTATTTCTCCCAAAGTACATTCAATTCTGCCTAAGAAATCCTGAGAATGAAAGACACACAGATAATCAGTGTTAGAAATTAAGGCTGGACCGTCTGCCTGGGGTAGACAACTTACAGAACGGGCTGAGAAGTTTTCCCACCCATCAGACATTCTGTCCAGCTACTTTTCAAGATGGCTGGTCCTTCAGTCCAGCAACTAATTTTCCTAAGAGGCAAACACTGCAGATAATCATTTAAAATATGTAAATTTGAACATTATTTTGATGAAATTAAGGGCACAGGAAGTGCAATAATAATATCATTACTATTCTACTGTTAATCCTAACATTCCGAAATATCAAATGATGGAAACAGGTATGGCAAAATGTGTAAAAACTTCCAATATAAAATTGTATGATATATACCATTTAACACTGAGAGTGCATTGCATATTTGCATTTGTATTGTCCGATATTTCCAAAAAAAACTTACATGAGCATCCAGCCTGGCAGATGCAGAATCTGAATCATAACTGTAATGAAATATAAATAAAGCATAAATGAACATGATATCAAATGATCTTACAAACATATGGCATATAAAAATTCTCGAACTGAGAATGCATTTCAAAATTTGTATTCAAAATTTGTTAACAAAAGGATTTTTTTAAAGAAAAAGTTGACTAAATTTTTAAACTAAAATTAACAAAATAAACAGTTTTCAAATAGCATGAACTTACATTTCAAATTTCAGTTTCTGGCTCTCTTCAAAAAAATAGTTTATGAGAAACTTCTGGACAAACTCAGGATTAAGTGTGTTCTGGATAATTTCTGTTCTGCCATACTGCAAAAACAAGAATTAATACATTGAGATGCCTTACAATGTCACAATTAGATGGTAATACAAGGGCAGATCAGGGGAGAGGAGCATTGTGCACAGCAGGTGGGTATCTATTCTCTTCTTTGAAATGTTATCCTTTCATCAGACACAGTCTGACAAGAGAAATGGTATAAAACCAAACAATTTTGCTATCCCTGTGCTCCATGTGACATAGCATAATTGTCCTCAGCAATTTCTTTATACATGTATATGCCGGGTGTACCTTGTGGTCCCCCCCCCCCCCCCCCCCCCNGTAATAGCTTTAATAAAATTTCGATTTCAAACTCATTTTTCAACATTAAATATGCTGTAGATCAACTTTTGGGTCATCTCACATTATTCGAAATTTATTTCTCAATATGACAATGTACATATTGTAACCCCAAGTACGTTAATAGCCGAGATAATACACCGTTTATGACACCCTATAAATCTCAAAAAATATTGCCCAATTCAAATTCTCGAACTTCCGGTTTGTTTAATAGCCACCTAGCGGCAGACCAGTGGCTCCCGGGCTGTCAAGCCATCGATTGTGACGATTTGAAGTAAAAAAGAAACACAAGTTAAGGTATCAACATCAGCAAAATAATTAACAGCAAAAATAATAATAAAAGAAAATGTAGAAATCAATTCTATTACACCAATACATGCATAATAATAAATACAGAGAATTGTGTCTGAGTTTTTAACTTATGTCTTACTTCTGTATAAGAATTACTTCCAAATCCTTTGACAAACAAAACACACATTGGGTCCGACTTAGATAAAACATCTTTGTCCTTCAAATTCCTGGAAATATAATATTCAAAGTAAAACACTCGTGCATAGGCTAAAAATCCCCATCATAATGGTTAAAACTGAAATATTAGTATGAAATAATAATGTCCTTACTACAAATTGTACAGTACAATACTGTATATTCAATGATATTTTATTTCTTTTGAGAACAGCATTTTAAATTCAATGCTGTAAAATTATAAATGTTATTCGCTATCATCACTTTTGGCTTATTACGAGAATTATATCGTATTTGTCATTTGTTCTTTGTAATTTCACAATATGTGAATGATTCAACATCAGATTGCAAAATACCTACAATAAACATTCTTCTGACTTGACACCAAAAAGTAAAGCGACAGATTGAACTTAGGCGAGCACATCACAATTACACAATTAAACTGTTATAAAAAGTTCAGCAAGTTAGACATTTGTTCCTTAAATTTACCTGCATGAAATGGTTAATTCCACTTGTGTAGCAGGCACGGAACCTGCGCCTGGCTGAAACCCTCCCGTACTCATTTGTAAAGCCATAGCCCTTTCCTTATTCTCCTAAATCAACCGCAAGGTGTCTTGATGGCAAGGCAGCCCATGGTTTTGTTAATTTTTCCCCAAAAAAGAGTAAAGGGTTGTGCAGTTTGCCGTTTTTGAAATATAAGTTGTTTTGCATGGATATGTGTTTCTTTTTATTCACGTTTTGACGTTTATAACTGACAAACTTATGGTTTGTCTTATTGGTTCGACTTTAGTTTATCTTGATAACTTAGGAAATCTCTCCCTTCTGTAGCCTCGCTCTGGCACTAGATGTTCATTATTCATTGCTTTCCGTTATTCCCGAAATCGAGTCCATAGCCTGCAGAGTCAAAACAAATAAGTTCAGTCCAGCAGGAAATGGAAGCAGCTGATAATGTCTTGTTGAAAACTGTGCTAATACACAACAAAAAGAACTGTCTAGTTACTTTATTTTCAACTCATATTTGTTGGGGATTAATGTCTTGTGGAGCAGATGCCATTGGACAATATTTAGAACCGTTTTACTGTGAGTATGCCATTTAGTTTCAGTCTCAAGAAGTACATGTACACGTCGTTACATGATCTTGGACTTGATATCGAGTTATCTAACGTGAATTCCTGTTATAAATATCACATCAAAATCAATCTTACAATCTGAGCCAAATAATGATATCGGCAAGCTTTTTAAAGCGAAAGAAGGACAAATTTTCATTTCGTGATGATGTATAATTCAAGAATATCTTGAATGTTGGTTTATTTAATTATTTTTTATTTATATTTTGTATTTGATTTATTTGAGTAAAAAGTTCAAAGTTTTCAAACAAGAACAAAAATATTAACAGTAACCCCATAAATGAAGGTGGCCCCAGACCTTCCACTATTTTTATAAGTAATCTGTAAAGTTTATTTTTAATTATGACACAAATGATAAACACCCTCAGAATGATAAACTGATTGAAAACTTATTGCTAGATTTTTGGATCTGTTTTAACATAAACCTTCTACACCAAGGTTATCTTGTATTTTGGTTGGCACATTGCCTTATTTGTGGTTCTGTGGGAATTTCAACTACATGTATGCCATACATAAGATGTCAAATTCTAACTTAAAATTTTACCCAAATAACGAAATTGACAAGCTTTTTAAAGCAAAAGTTAGACAGATTTTTATTTTGTGATAATGTGTAATTCAAGAATGTCTTGAATGTTGGTTTATTAATTTTAGATTATTTTTATTTTGCATTGGATTTATTTGAGTAAAAAGTTCACAATTTCTAATGGGAACAAAAATATTAACAGTAACCCTATTGTACAGTATACTGTAGTATATATATATATATATATATATATATATATATATATATATATATATATATATATATAATATGAAGGTGACCTCAGACTTTCCACTGTATTTTTTCTTTTTTTTAATATAGACCTTTTACATGAAGGTTATCTTTTATTTTGGTTGGCACACTGCCTAATTTGTGGTTCTGTGGAAACTTTAAATACATGTATACCATAACATAAACTATGTTGGTGGTTTGGCACTGTGACAGTGCTTTAGCCTTTTAAAACCTAGTTCACCTAACCGCATACAGAGTTGCTTTGAATATAGAACCATTTCACAGTACCTTCTCATCCATTCCCAAGTTAGATTTGGTCTTCCAATATGCAGTGAAAAGAAGAAAGAATTTAGTGAATTCACCTTTAATAATATGTATCTCAGTTAGTAGAGACAAAAATTCAAATGGCAATTTAAATTTAAGAAAGGGGGTGCTGTGTAATGGCTCTATGATAAAATATTTTGTACTTTCTTATAACCATTAATTGAGAGATTTTGAAAGGATACCTGATCATTCTGATCTGGTCTCTCCATTATGAATGTGAAAGGTATTTCAGTTTCAATTTATCCTTTATTACCACAGACCAAAGACATGAGTCAGTCCCAATTCAAGAAATCATTGCCATAACCCCTGAGAAAATCCAGCACGCCCAGGAAAAGAAACAAAATGCCTCTTTGGGTATCGAGTTGATCAGCCTCGAGACACGCTCTTTCTGCCTCCATGTTGTGAAGAGAGTTGGTGGACATAGATGGAGGGTGAGGAAGGTGATATTTGACTGCCCTGATGGCCAGGCTTGTGGAGACTGGATAGATGCTGTACAGAGCAGGCTGAACAGTAAAGGTGAGGGCACAGGGGGTTGTTAAATACTAGGATGGTGATTACTCTAGACTATCTTATCAATGGCCAAAATGTTCAAACTTATAGATTACATAATTTTATAATCACCAAATATTATTTTTCTGTGTGGGAATTTTGGTGCTTTTATTGCATGGAATATAACTATTTGAACAGTAACCTGCTTTTTAAATTCCGTTGCTACCACTCAATAGAAATGCTCTGATTTTAAGAAATTATGACTTAAAAATACAGTATCTGTAAAGTCTACAATTTTCTCTATTGAAAAGATCTGAAAATTACTGTACCCCCCAAATGGTGTGGATAAATACTAATACCTTCATTCCTGTTGTTACCTCTGCTGAGGAGATTAATAAAAATTATGCTTTTGTCTTTGTTGGCTTATTAGTTACCAGCCTAACTCAAACATTTATGGACTTATTTTGATAGAAAAAAAATTAAGGACTGGTCATGAATGTCATATTTCGATTTGCACCCACTAAGGACATTAAACTAATTCTTTTTGTTCTTCTGTTTCATAAGTGGCAATTTTTTACAGGGATATCTTATAGGAAACCCAAAAGAAAATAAGTTATGTGCATGTAGCTCTATACTAGTATGTATTTGGTGCAATATAGATGATACATGTTATTTTCTGGGGATATCTCTCAAGGATCTATTTTTTCTGTTGCCACTTGCAAAGAGCTTGAAAACACGAATCTTACATCTTGTTTGGCTCTAAAAGAATTCCTATCTGGAAAAAATCAATGCCTTTCAGACAGTGAAGTCATTAGCTGTATGTGGAATTGCATCTGTATCTAAGAGAGCTATCACTCAAATGTTTATGGTTGCGTTATTGGATTTCATGCACTGATAATCCTGATCTGCAGCCCACATGGCAGAGGGTCTCATTCTCATGAAATTTGGAACATTTTATTGCTGAGATTGATTATATAGTGCAAAAGGCAGGCCTGCAGCTAGCAATTTTAAAGTTGGTTCTTTTATTGAAAAAGTTGACCTTAATTTGTATCGCCTTAGTTTTCCCAACTTGAGTGATGTAGTGGCAAACAACCTGCATTGAAATTTGATTCAGCTCACACGTTTTCCACCCTAAAGATCTTAAAGTAAATGCATATTAACCTCATCAAATGATACTTGCTATTTTGGCGTAAAACTTATGTAGAATTTAACTGGGAATTATACTGGACCCTTGATAATTAAGTTGATGAGGGGTGAAGACCTAGGGCAATAACATATGGCCCTAAAAGAATACATATAGGTATTGAATAGCTAATGACATTCAGGTCAGGTTCTTTGCATTTAGCATAAGACTCCCACACAGGTGGTCAGCAGTTTCCTTTGAAGTTGGTACTGTGAAGATCCACAGCTGTAGAACTAGTATTTGCCCATTTCCCTTCTTTAATTTTGGCATTGCATCAGCTAATAATTAATGAAATGGAGTCATTGCTGTCATCCAATTTTAGGTTANCATTTTGACGTTTATAACTGACAAACTTATGGTTTGTCTTGTTGGTTCGACTTTAGTTTATCTTGATAACTTAGGAAATCTCTCCCTTCTGTAGCCTCGCTCTGGCACTAGATGTTCATTATTCATTCCTTTCCGTTATTCCCGAAATCGAGTCCATAGCCTGCAGAGTCAAAACAAATAAGTTCAGTCCAGCAGGAAATGGAAGCAGCTGATAATGTCTTGTTGAAAACTGTGCTAATACACAACAAAAAGAACTGTCTAGTTACTTTATTTTCAACTCATATTTGTTGGGGATTAACGTCTTGTGGAGCAGATGCCATTGGACAATATTTAGAACCATTTTACTGTGAGTATGCCATTTAGTTTCAGTCTCAAGAAGGACATGTACACGTCGTTACATGATCTTGGACTTGATATCGAGTTATCTAACGTGAATTCCTGTTATAAATATCACATCAAAATCAATCTTACAATTTGAGCCAAATAATGATATCGGCAAGCTTTTTTAAAGCGAAAGAAGGACAAATTTTCATTTCGTGATGATGTATAATTCAAGAATATCTTGAATGTTGGTTTATTTATTTATTTTTTATTTATATTTTGTATTTGATTTATTTGAGTGAAAAGTTCAAAGTTTTCAAACAAGAACAAAAATATTAACAGTAACCCCATAAATGAAGGTGGCCCCAGACCTTCCACTATTTTTTATAAGTAATCTGTAAAGTTTATTTTTAATTATGACACAAATGATAAACACCCTCAGAATGATAAACTGATTGAAAACTTATTGCTAGATTTTTGGATCTGTTTTAACATAAACCTTCTACACCAAGGTTATCTTGTATTTTGGTTGGCACATTGCCTTATTTCTGGTTCTGTGGAAATTTCAACTACATGTATATGCCATACATAAGATGTCAAATTCTAACTTAAAATTTTACCCAAATAACAAAATTGACAAGCTTTTTAAAGCAAAAGTTAGACAGATTTTTATTTTGTGATAATGTGTAATTCAAGAATGTCTTGAATGTTGGTTTATTAATTTTAGATTATTTTTATTTTGCATTGGATTTATTTGAGTAAAAAGTTCACAATTTCTAATGGGAACAAAAATATTAACAGAAACCCTATTGTATACTGTAGTATATATATATTATGTGAAGGTGACCTCAGACTTTCCACTGTATTTTTTCTTTTTTTTAATATAGACCTTTTACATGAAGGTTATCTTTTATTTTGGTTGGCACACTGCCTAGTTTGTGGTTCTGTGGAAACTTTAAATACATGTATACCATAACATAAACTATGTTGGTGGTTTGGCACTGTGACAGTGCTTTAGCCTTTTAAAACCTAGTTCACCTAACCACATACAAAGTTGCTTTGAATATAGAACCATTTCACAGTACCTTCTCATCCATTCCCAAGTTAGATTTGGTCTTCCAATATGCAGTGAAAAGAAGAAAGAATTTAGTGAATTCACCTTTAATAATAGTTATCTCAGTTAGTAGAGACAAAAATTCAAATGGCTATTTAAATTTAAGAAAGGGGGTGCTGTGTAATGGCTCTATGATAAAATATTTTGTACTTTCCTATAACCATTAATTGAGAGATTTTGAAAGGATACCTGATCATTCTGATCTGGGCTCATATCTCCATTATGAATGCGAAAGGTATTTCAGTTTCAATTTATCCTTTATTACCACAGACCAAAGACATGAGTCAGTCCCAATCCAAGAAATCATTGCCATAACCCCTGAGAAAATCCAGCACGCCCAGGAAAAGAAACAAAATGCCTCTTTGGGTATCGAGTTGATCAGCCTCGAGACACGGTCATTCTGCCTCCATGTTGTGAAGAGAGTTGGTGGACATAGATGGAGGGTGAGGAAGGTGATATTTGACTGCCCTGATGGCCAGGCTTGCGGAGACTGGATAGATGCTGTACAGAGCAGGCTGAACAGTAAAGGTGAGGGCACAGGGGGTTGTTAAATACTAAGACGGTGAATACTCTTTTCAGTGGCCAATATTTTCAAACTTTCAGATTGCATAATTTTATAATCACCAAATATTATTTTTCTGTGTGGGAATTTTGGTGAGCACTTTTATTGCATGGAATATAACTATATGAACAGTAACCTGCTTTTTAAATTCTGTTGCTACCACTCAATAGAAATGCTCTGATTTTAAGAAATTATGACTTAAAAGTACAGTATCTGTAAAGTCTACAATTTTCTCTATTGAAAAGATCTGAAAATTACTGTACCCCCCAAATGGTGTGGATAAATACTAATACCTTCATTCCTGTTGTTACCTCTGCTGAGGAGATTAATAAGAATTATGCTTTTGTCTTTGTTGGCTTATTAGTTACCAGTCTAACTCAAACATTTATGGACTTATTTTGACAGAAAAAAAATTAAGGACTGGTCATGAATGTCATATTTCGATTTGCACCCACTAAGGACATTAAACTAATTCTTTTTGTTCTTCTGTTTCATAAGTGGCAATTTTTTACAGGGATATCTTATAGGTAACCCAAAAGAAAATAAGTTATGTGCATGTAGCTCTATACTAGTATGTATTTGGTGCAATATAGATGATACATGTTATTTTCTGGGGATATCTCTCAAGGATCTATTTTTTCTGTTGCCACTTGCAAAGAGCTTGAAAACACGAATCTTACATCTTGTTTGGCTCTAAAAGAATTCCTATCTGGAAAAAATCAATGCCTTTCAGACAGTGAAGTCATTAGCTGTATGTGGAATTGCATCTGTATCTAAGAGAGCTATCACTCAAATGTTTATGGTTGCGTTATTGGATTTCATGCACTGATAATCCTGATCTGCAGCCCACATGGCAGAGGGTCTCATTCTCATGAAATTTGGAACATTTTATTGCTGAGATTGATTATATAGTGCAAAAGGCAGGCCTGCAGCTAGCAATTTTAAAGTTGGTTCTTTTATTGAAAAAGTTGACCTTAATTTGTATCGCCTTAGTTTTCCCAACTTGAGTGATGTAGTGGCAAAGAACCTGCATTGAAATTTGATTCAGCTCACACATTTTCCACCCTAAAGATCTTAAAGTAAATGCATATTAACCTCATCAAATGATACTAGCTATTTTGGCATAAAACTTACGTAGAATTTAACTGGGAATTATACTGGACCCTTGATAATTAAGTTGATGAGGGGTGAAGACCTAGGGCAATAACATATGGCCCTAAAAGAATACATATAAGTATTGAATAGGTATTGACATTCAGGTCCGTTTCTTTGCATTTAGCAGAAGACTCCCACACAGGTGGTCAGCAGTTTCCTTTGAAGTTGGTACTGTGAAGATCCACAGCTGTAGAACTAGTATTTGCCCATTTCCCTTCTTTAATTTTGGCATCACATCAGCTAATAATTAATGAAATGGAGTCATTGCTGTCATCCAATTTTAGGTTATTCACACAGGTTTACTTGTATTTCTTTTCCATTTCTTATAAAATTTTCTATAGTATGTGTGAATAGTATTTTCATGTATTCTAGAATATGGCCGTCCTAAGCACCTGCTCACTTTTATCAATCCATTTGGTGGCAAAAGGAAGGCAGTGAAGATTTATGAAGAAAAGATTGAACCATTGTTTTACTTAGCAGGGATAGCCAGTGAAGTCATAGGTAGGCCAAAGAAGAAAATACCCTGAAGCCTTAAAATTTTCTGTACTGATTTGATATTATATATTCCAGTACGCAACAGATCATTTCTAGACTCAGACACTACCACCTCTCTCTCTCTCTCTCACACACACACACACACACACACACACACACATGCTGAACTGTCTTTGAAAAAATATATTCTGTTTTAGAAGATCGGCACTGTGTATAAACACTGCCTCCTATATCTGAAATCCTGGATCCTCCTCTGTTGTGCACTTAGGGTGAATAATGCTGTTGCTGATTACATCTCTGACTGCACAATGTTATATGAATGATTTAAAGTATTTTATTTTCACTCATTCCAGTGACTGAGAGAGCCAACCATGCTCATGATTATATATTGGAAGAGGATTTAAGACATTATGATGGGTATGGTAAACAGTTCTATTTGCGTAAAGTGATAACTGTAATTTTTTGTTGCTAGTCACAACCCTGTTCTTCTGTATGTACACATGTGTTATCCCAAGAAAGAGGTCCATAATATTATGCTTTGGACACCAAACAGTCTTCACCACAATGTTGTCTACGCGTGCGTGCATGCACACACACTCACACCCTTCAATGTTGAGTGACTCTTCATCTGAAGATTGTAACTGTGACAGTAGCATGTCACATAAGTGAAGGTTATTACTGAATAGCTTTTGCATTCTTGGGAGAATTTTTTTTTCTTTTTTTCCTACACTGTATAACTTGTTTATCATTTTTCTTTAAGCATAATCTGTGTAGGTGGTGACGGCATGTTTGCTGAGCTCCTGAATGGTCTGCTACGACGGACCCAACAGGATGCTGGGATACACGACGCAAATCAGGAAACAAAACTAGTTAATCCTAGGCTCAAACTTGGAGTCATTCCAGGAGGTAGGTGTTTATATATTCAGCAACATCTTAAATATTTTTTACTTTATCAAGTAACTAACTGACTGGTAAATGAATCATTTGATAAGTTGATAATTTAGATAGGCCTAAATTCTTGGGAATATATTTTGTGATTGTTGAGTACAGATTCAACTTGTTGAAATGCTCCATTTCAGGATCAACAGATGCAGTTGTCTATACTACCTGTGGTATAAATGACCCTGTCACGTCAGCCTTGCATATTATCATAGGTATGGGGGTTTTGATAAGACTAATGAAAAAATACACAAGAGTTACACCTTTAAAAATCAGACATCATCAGAATTTAACTCTTTCATCAATGAATAAAATGCCTTTGAAGTTCTAGTGTAATTGGCAGACCTATGATTATCCTCTGTGGTTTAGAGAGTTAATCTTCAGTTAAAAGATTATCTTCTTGGATAAAAATGGGAAAGGAGAGTAGTTTGAAAGGTAAAATGTAATGACCAATTTTACAGTGACTTTTTGCAGGATAGTTATCTTAAAGGGATAATAACTCTTCGTATGAGATCTATTTTTCACAATAAAAACATTGTGAATAACTCATAGAAATATAATATATTCTGTTTTACCACAAAAACGGCAGTTATAGCTATTATTCTGATATCTGAGCTTGTCTTTAGACCACGTGACCTCCATTGATAGCTATACTTTGTTAAAATCTCTTAAGAGATTTTAACAAAAAACCAAACTTTTTAGAAAAAAAACAGGGACTAACTTTGAATGTAAAAATGGATTCAATAACCCTTGGTAAGTATGGGAAAATTGTTGTTTACTCCAGGAAAATTCATTTTTTGGCCGAAACGAAGAGTTATTATCACTTTAAGTTTGTAAAAACATCAGTACTTCATAGATTTCTCTACTCTTTTCTCACAGTAGCATAATATCTCGTCCTTTCTTTCCAGGAGAAACTGTCGGTGTAGATGTTTGCAGCATACACCAGGAGAACCAGATATTGCGCTACTGTGTGTCCATGCTGGCTTATGGTTACTTTGGTGACGTACTGATTGATAGCGAGAAACACAGGTGGATGGGACCAAAAAGATATGACTGGAGTGGTACAAATTTTTTCTATTGAAGATTTAAATTTTGATAGCTTGATTATATTTTAAGGAGATGAAAGATAATTCAATATGAAAAAAGAAATTTTTTTAAAGAAGTTAATGATTAAATAAATAGATATATAAAAAGCTGTAAACATTTAAACCAAGTTAATAATATTTGTTTTGAATAAACAATTTGATTTTGTTCCCATGTTTAGCACAGTGTATAAAAAGAACAGTGCTTTGAGGAAAAAAATGGCTCTTTCCAGGCTTTAAGCGGTGGTGCAAGAAATTTGTGTATGAGGCAGAGATATCTTACCTGGAGTGTCCTGACACCAGGCATCACCCTAGAGATGGGTCCAGATGCTTTGCAGGGTATGAACCTCCCCTCCCCCCCTCCTCTCTCTCTCTCTCTCTCTCTCAAACAAAACAACACAAATCCATTTCTTTGTGAAATCAAAGGGCATACTATCAAACATAGCTTAATTTTGTTTTGAAAAAAATTAATTTGAACATTTTTTAAGTGTATTATGTTTCAAATGTACACTGGTTTTTACCTACTTCTAGTACCAAATACTTGACTGTGTCAGTGTGAGAACACAAAATTCAGCCTGACATTTCTATTTATTTCAGTTGTGAAATTTGCAATTCCATACAACACTCAGAAGGAGAGAGCCTTTATTCTGATGACAAATGGCAAACTTTCCAAGGACGCTTCATCAGCTTCCAGTCCATCACAATGCCATGTCGCTGCGATCTTAGTCCCAATGGCGTGTCCCCCTCCCAGCACCTTAGCAATGGCTATACTGATCTTATCATTGCCAAAGAATGTTCACAGGTGGATTTTCTCAGACACATGTGGAGAGTCAAGAGTAAAACAACAGACCAGGTAATGATTTAAAGTCACATTTTTTCATCTGTGAATAAGTTGCATTGTACTTATTGATCCTTGTTGGAATGGTGTTATAGTAGGTGGGTAGCATCCATGGCCCAGTCTGTTAGAAGCTTGCATATGTTCAACATATTAAACCTTCACACATACAAGTCTTACTGGTAATTGTTTCCAATGTAAGCCTTATTGGATGAAGTTGGATTCTTTGGGGTAGTGTTTGGTTCTTTATAAGTACTGTGAAAAGATTACCAAAAAGTTTCATCTTTTGATTGGAAGAAGATGAAACTTGAATGTGTGTGATCATATATTTTATTTGCATTCCAAATCATTTTATTTCAGTTCGACTTTGATTTTGTGGAGGTTCATAGGGTAAAAGCATTTAAATTCCGACCAATCCTAGAAGATGGAGAAGATGAAGAAAATGATGATTCAAATGGGCGGCAGCGTCTACGAACAAGACAACTTCGCGCTAGTTCTTGGAATTGTGATGGAGAGGTTTTAACAGAAGGTTTTATTGACGTCAAGTAAGTTGCTAAAACTCTAAGCAATACTTTTTTTTAAAAATTCATTCATTTCATGGTTTTTTTATTTTCCAATGAAAGCCGTTTTCCACAAAAAGTGGTTTCATTTTAACTATTTGTGGTAAAGTAGATTTGTATTTTTTAAAGATATGTGGTTTTAGAGTAATGCAAGATATATAGTTATATTATTAAATTGATAAGAAATACACCTAAAAACCAAAAGAATAACTGATATTTTTATTAAAGATAATTAATTTATTTGTTTCTTTCAAATTTTAACCACCAGGGTACACCACCAGCTCATAAAGCTCTTTGCTCGGAATATCGAAGATGAAAGGCAGCTGAAAACAGACTTCTGTGAGACCAGCTGTTATAGTTGCAGTGCTAGGAGATAATGTGCTGGGTGGGACTGCAATGTGTTAGTTGTGACTCCCATTGTGCCAGTTGTATGACTGCAATGTGATAGTTGTGACTCCCATTGCGTCAGTTGTTTGTATAAATGCAATGTGTTAGTTGTGACTTCCATTGTGTCAGTTGTATGACATGCAATGTGGCCACAACTCTCATTACACAGAGTTTAACAAGAAAGAGGAATTTGAGAATTGTCTCGTACAATGCTTTCCTTGCACCAGGTGTTCATGAAGTTGACAGCATATGCTACCAAATATGTTCATTGTTATTGCAGTAAATGTGAGAGATGCTGTTGGAAGGCATTCACGTTTGACCAGTTTCTTACATTTAAACTTTTGAAGATTTCATCTTTTCATTGACATATTTTGTTGATAAATTGATGGATAGTAAAGTGGATTATTACAGTATAATTATAGAGTAGCTATCATGCTCTTTTAGTGGTAGACTTAAGATATGTTCTTAATTTATAGTTAAATTGTTACATTGTTATGTATTTTAGTAAATAACTGGTATACATGGTTTATCCAAAGATGACACTGCTGTTGTAGTGCTTTAATTGACCAAAACTAAGAAAGCTCAAACAATCTACCTAACTTCCAAGCTCTGTATAATCATCAACATAGTTTTAGAAAATAATATAATAGCTTTGGGTACAATCATGGGCAGCTTTAAATGCTACAATGTTAAACAGCTAATAAGTATATGTATCCAGTATAAGTGTTGATCCCTCCAAATGTTAAAAGAAACCTGGCAATGTTTTATTATTTATTTATTTTCTTAATAAAATTATATGTACCTGAACATTTGACAACTTTTGCCCATTGTAATTATATTGGAGGGATGTCATGCAGGTGTTATATCTATGGTGGAATATTTACAGAGTAAGTGGCAAAGTGCAATGAGGTATAGTGTTATAATTTATAAAGTCTATGTATCTGATATTGGCAACATTTTGGTCATTGTTATATGTTAAACATGCTATCTGTTATGATTAGATTTTGTGCAAGTTTAATCTTTGCTAGGTGAATGGAGTGAGAAGCTTGGTACAAGTTAACATAATGCTGCAAATATCTTTTTATTTATCTGCTGAAAGGGGAAGATATTTTTGAATCATTACTTTTTGACAATTTATAAGTAGTTTGGTGAATAAAATGTATTAAATTTTGACAAAATATATGCTTAATATCTGTAATTTTCAGAGCAAATGCTTAATATTTACGGTGTAAATTGTCCAAAACGGCTGACTATTCAGTTTAAGTCTTTATATTATTGTTGAAATTCTTTCATATGACTGTACAATAACTGTCCCATATTGCTTACCCAGCTCAGTCCATAAATGTGACAATATTTAAGCACGGTAACAGTGGTACATATGTATGTGTGCATACACTTTCCCACATGGTCATACTGTACTAAATTATAATAAGAGTGTTATGCTGGATAATGTTGTTTTTCAGTTTTTGTATACTGGTCAGTTTAGGACAGTATGTTTATAATACAATATGTCTGGAAATTGATGTACAAGTCGATGGGTTGTTTTTGCGTTACATCATTTTTATCATGAAAAAAATGATAATAGTTACTAATCTTAACTGCTTACCTAAGATTTAAATGGTTATTTTAAACCTTTTTTTCAGATTAAGATTACGCTTATAGCAGTAGATTTATTGTATTATAGTAATCAAAAAGAATATTTACTAGATGTTATTTTTGTAATTCACAGTTGATAAACCTTTTGCTATGGTTTCCTTACATCACTTTAGAATATTAAGAGTTCCACTTAGACAGCTGTGATATATGCTGCTGTTGTCATTGTTATTGGTTCGAAGTACATGGATACACAGGGGCATACCTTTTCTTTTGCAGTGTATAATTTTTCGTTTATCACAAATTTAATAAGGGTATCTGTGAAGACAATTGTTTCAGAAAATGTAAAAAGAAATAAGGCTGGATATAGAATTACATCAATTTGAATTTTATTCATTGAACAAATAAAAAATGTTACATGTTAAAATTCAATGACATTTTTTGCTTTTTGTCAACATTCTTTAACATTTATTGTGAGATCTGATTAAAACCAATTAAAATTAATAAGAACAAGATCATTTTACTGTTTTAAGGTTAATTAAAAATGTTTTTTTTAGACAAGACTGTTTGAGCACAGGCCTAGAGCATCTTCATTTTCCCACTTAATGTGCCTCCATATTTCAATCATTCAGATTAATATAAAGTTATGAAATAAATATTTGCACTGTTTTTTTTTTTTTTTTTTTTTTTTTTGAGACATGGTAGATACTACTTACAAACCTCTTCTTTCTAAAATGTATATCAAACGTCGGCAGAAGATAACTGAACAAGATACTACTAAGACATATATATCTGTTTCCAGAACATCTTTCCTAATTGTTTATAATTTGGACAAATAAAACACTAAATACGTCATGGTTAAGAATCATTTAACGTTACCTTATAAACTGATAAAACAGAAGTGATTACAGCAACTACAATTTAGCGCCCCCTTTCTGCTTGTTTCCATAAAACATCCAGTTAAATCTTCAAAACCCATTACAAAAACAAGGAAGTGAACACTACGTATGCAGTTAAACTCATCCCGTAGTTCCACAAAGTCATTCTCCCATTTATGGTGACATCCTGACCGTTGCAGAGAGAGCTAGAATTACATGCGCACACTTCACCGACGATGTTTGTGATTCCCACGTGCGGATACGTCATCCCGGGAAAGTAAGTCGAATCCCACGTGTCGTTATCACTTGGGCTAAACTGGCGACAACTATCGTAGAAATCCGTATTGTTTGGTGCACAGGCTCGTGCAAACGTGTGGATGTTCATGCTGAAATTTCTCTAAAATTAGAGGTCAAAAGCTATGAGTTCATATGACTACATAACAGCATTTCTATAAAATGAAGAGAATGGTGTTATTATCTCATTGATTTATGACTATTCAAAAGTGGTCGAAAAAAATATCAGGTTGAACTATTAATGTGATACAGCACACCGGTATTCCTTCAATTATCAAGACTGCTCAGCACAGTAAAATGCTCTTTGTTGGATAATAACTTTTATGATCATCATCATCATTATCAAAATTGTCATTATACACTGATTAATTTAATCTTAAAGAAGATCTGAAAATTAAGCCAACTATTTGTGCGTTTAAAAGTATAAAGGTGAGATTCTATTGCCCTCTGAAACTCAGGGTGACCATTGTAAGGCCACATTCGCAACCAGTTGATACACGGACTCACAGATCCTCGGATCAAATATGGCTGACCCACATGAAAGTTAGTCTCATAATCCCCTAAAAAACAAATAGATTTCCCGCAAGCATTAAGCAGCAAGCTCCCAACTGGGTTGTCTATATTTGATCCGCAGATCTGTAAGTCGATCTAAGTCTGCGGATGGCTAATGAACAACCTACCCCAAACCCTGGCAAAGGGAACTTCATGGTCAGGGTGACGTCACCACGGAGGCATATCCCCGAGTCACAGGCGGTCTTTTTTTCAGGGACGTGCATAATCCGGTTAGCATCAAGGCAGGTCATGTCTTTGGGTATCGCTGAGCTTCCAATAAAATTACTGAAGGTTGCGTCGTCAGATGCTACTTTGGTGTAGGTACAGTCGAAGCACTCCATACCTGGTGGCGGCAAAATGAAAAGACGTAAGTCTCTCATGAAAAATGTTCTGCCTTAGCAAACAATGCCTTTACGTACTCAGTTAAATCTAACTTACCTTGCACTGTACCTTTAAACGGGCGTTGGAATACCAGTTTTTAAAAACCTTTATAACAAATCTAACAATTCACATTACCTATAAATAGTAAGATCATTCACATTATGTTCCGTCACACCCCACCTCTTAGGACATAGGATAGCAAAGTACGATGTTTTTGACGCGAACAGTCATGGTCGCATTGAAGATTGACAATGACATACTGTATATCGTACAATTACATGTAAAACCATGACATTGTTGGTATTTGTGTAGCCCAAGTGTATCGTTATGGGGAAGCTTAAATATTCAAACTTACTATCTCAACAAATGATACCCACCAGCCGATTCGTCTGGTAACATTAGAATCAGAACAGCAGATGTTATGATTTGTAGTAACAAAGTGAGTGCACTGCCAATGTCGCTGGAGTTGGCTTTTCTGTAGTTCTCCATCTCTCCTTGCTGTGGCAAATATATGTTTGGATAACGACAAATGAAATCTTCCTATATATCTTGCCTTGTCATTTTATTTTAAGACTTATCGGGACTTAAAACACCCAAGTATTTATATGTAAATCAGAGTGAAATGACGAAGTTCCAGATTGTCCTGGCAGACGAATTTCGGTCAAAACGAGACTCTCAGTACCCAAAGTTGGCTGTCGCATTGTCGCGTTATAGCTACATTCCCAACAAAGCATAGTAGGTACAGGGTGTGCATGGTTGGCCTGGTTGGGTCGATCGTGGTTAAGGTTGTTTTTTCATAAACCACAGGAACACAGGAAGCAAGGGAAGCAAGCACAGGAAGCTGGGAAAGGGGGGGGGGGGGCAAAACCATAATCCACTCACCCACGACTTGGGGGGAGGGGTCTGGCGACCAAGCCCCACTACTATAGAAATATCTGGTGTGGTGGTTTTCTACTAATAGCCTAGTGCCTAAAGATGGGATTATTTTCTTGGAGAGATCTGGAACCTGTAGCACTGCATTGCGCTTTTGATAAAGTATGTGATTCAGCTGCTGAATAACATAAGTTGAGAAATGATATAAATTCTGTAAACCTACGATAACCTTAACAATGAAGAAAATTATATATACGTAAATGTAAATTATTATACGTCATGACAGGCTGGTCTCCTCGACATGCTATAAAATACTGAAAAAATACCAAAACTCAACAATTTGCATCCACTGATGTTTATAGTCTTAATCTTTCTTCATTTGGGGGCTTTTGGCCACCATTTTTATTTCTATCTTTTCACAATATCTACCCAGATTAATGTTAAAGTAAAACGAACCCCAATTAACATGGTATTTTTTTTTTATCACAAATTTAATAAGGGCATCTGTGAAGACAATTGTTTCAGAAAATGTAAGAAATAAGGCTGGATATAGAATTACATTGATTTAAGCTTTATTCATTGAACAAATAAAAAAATGTTACATGTTGAAATTCAGTGGCATTTATTGCCTTTTGTCAACATTCTTTAACATTTATTATGAGATTGGACTATAATCAATTAAAAATAAATGAGAACAAGGTCATTTTACTGTTTAAACATTTGCACCGTTTCTTGAGACATTGTAGATACCACTTATAAATCTGTTCTTGCTAAAATGTATATCAAACGTCGGCAGAAGATAGCTGAACAAGATACTAATAAGACATATGCATCTGTTTCCAGAACATCTTTCCTCATTGTTTATAATTTGGACAAATAAAACACTAAATACGTCATGGTTAAGAATTATTAAACGTTACGTTATAAACTGATAAAGCAGAAGTGATTACAGCAACTACAATTAAGCGCCCCCTTTCTGCCTGTTCCCATAAAACATCCAGTTAAATCTTCAAAACCCATTACAAAAACAAGGAAGTGAACACTACGTATGCAGTTAAACTCATCCCGTAGTTCCACAAAGTCATTCTCCCATTTACAGTGACATCCTGACCGTTGCAGAGAGAGCTAGAATTACATGCGCACACTTCACCAACGATGTTTGTGATTCCCACGTGCGGATACGTCATCCCGGGAAAGTAGGACGAATCCCACGTGTCGTTATCACTTGGGCTTAACTGGCGACACCTGTCGTAGAAATCCGTATTGTTTGGTGCACAGGCTCGTGCAAAGGTGCGGACGTTCATGCTGAAATTTCTCTAAAATTAGGGTTAATAACTATGAGTTCATATGACTACATAACAGTCTATGAAACTACATAACTTTCTATGAAATGAAAATAGAATGGTGTTATTGTTTATTGATCTATGACCAAAGTGGTCGAAAAAATATCAGGTTGAACTATTAAATATTATTATATATATATATACTGAACCCTTTTCAATTGTAACATTACATACTGTTTCACTACTGCTCACCCTGCTTTTAAAACTATAAAGGTGAGATTCTATTGCCCTCTGAAACTCTGGGCGAGTACTGTAAGGCCACATTCACAACCAGTTGATACGCGGACTCACAGATCCACGGACCAAATATGTCCGACCCACATGGAAGTTTGTCGCATAATCCCTTAAAAAACTAACAGATTTCCCGTACGGGATACGCAGCAAGCTTCTGATCGGGTCGTCCATATTTGATCCGCAGATCTGTTAGTCCACGGATCAATTTTGGTTCTAAATGCGGCCTATGCGAATGCCTAATGAACAACCTACCCCAAACCCGGGCAAAGGGAACTCCATGGTCAGGCTGACGTCACCACGGAGGCATATCCCCGAGTGACAGGCGGTCTTTTTTTCAGGGTCGTTCCTGATCCGGTGAATATCAAGGCAGGTCATGTCTTTGGGTAGCACCGTGGTTCCCAGAACCTTACTAAAGGATGCGTCGTCAGATGATACTTTGGTGGAGGTACAGTCGAAGCACTCCATACCTGGTGACGGCAAAATGAAAAGACGCTAGTCTCTCATGAAAAATGTTCTGCCTAAGCAAACAATGCCTTTACGTACCCAGCTAAATATGTAAATGACGACAATATGATAGCAAAGTACGATGTTTTTGACGTATTGAAGATTGACAATGAAATATATCGTAGAATTACATGTAAAACCATGACATCGTTGGTATTTGTGTAGCATAAGTGTATCGTTGTTGTAATATGTGCCTGAAACTTGGTGTGGCGCTTCTTGATCACGTGGGTTTGGAGAGCGGGAATCAGTAGTGTGGGATGCGCCTTGTTAGGTGACACGATGCATCGTTTCTTCCAAAATAATTCCATATGCATCTGTTGATTTTATTCGTCATTTATGAAATCACATTGCATCACAACATCGTTATGGGGCGGCTTAAATATTCAAACTTACTATCTCAACAA